ACAGACTCCCAAACTGCTTCTCAAGATGGAAAAACAATCTCTCAAGAAGTGTGTGCAGATTGTAAGGATCCCTGCAGGGCCCTGGCTGAGGCCTCAGACATGACGCACACCAGCTGTGGTCTCTGCGCAAGGTGGCAGGAGAACTAGTTCTTAGTCTACTGGTTTGAATCAAAATATTTTCTCTTTTTGCTCTGTGCTAGAGGCCCTGCTGAGCAGCATGGAGAATGTCCGTGAAGCGAGGCCCAGGCTTACTCTCCTCAGAGCCTCGTGAGCCTGGTCCAGGCAGGGAAGAGGTCCTGAAAGAGGGCAGCGCAGGCCCAGAACCATGGAGGTGCCAGTCTTTGAATAAGCAGGGCCGAGGGAAATCACTGTGACCAGCCTCATACCCTGCTTGACCTATGAGAGACCAGAGCAAGTTGCCCTTTCTGGTTAGTGGGAATAAGAAAAGCCTCAAGTTCATAACAAGATTCTCCCAGTTCTGCACCCTCATGTTAGGGTCCCATTACAACGGTCATTGATTTAACGTTGTAGGATGTGATGCAGCAGGAGACATACTAGATCCTGAAACAGTGAGCCAGATACACTTTAGTCTTTAGTCCAAGGGAGTCTCAGATGTAAAAGTGCCCACCTTTACCTTTGTGAACTGGAGGAGCAAGGTCCTCCTCCAGCTCATGCTCTGATTTGCTTCAAAGTAGAGAGAAGGAGAAAGAAGGAGGCATCATCTCTGGGTATAAGCCTGAGTCAGCATTAGAAAAACAACAGAAGGGCCAGAGAGGGTAGGGATCTTGCCTTGATTGCAGCCAGTTCAGGTTCAATTCCTTGGCACCTCCTATGGTCCCCCAAACCCCACCAGGAGTGACTCCTGAGCGCAGAACCAGGAGTAAGCCCTGAGCACCACCAGGTGTGATACAAAAATAAAACCAGAGAGGAACCAACATGAATGTGGCCCTCACTGGGAGAGTTGAAAGAGGGCCAGGTTGAGAAGGGTTGGAGCGCAAGATTGGGGAGAGAAGAGGAGAAAATAGGTCTTGAACATTAGTAACAAAGTTTTACCAAGCTTTCCTCAAACCCTGGCTCTGAATCTAGTGGAAAGAGCCTTCACAAACTCTGTCACCCCTCACTCCCCCTCTCATATAGAAACAAGACGAAGTAACACCCACTGAACACTTGTTCCCAGGGTTGGAGGAATAAATAAAGGAGTTTGTGAGCTCCAAATCCAGAATTCATTGTCAGCAACTCCTAGGATGACTAGGGCAAAAAACCAATGACCAGTCCTTTCCCCAAGCCCCTTCCAGGTAGAGAACCAGCATCAGCCTTGTTGACAGTCTTACTCTCCAATAGCAGGAGGGAGGCTGAAGGTATGGTTCAGTGGTAGATCATTTGTCTTGCTGTGTGAGGCCCTACGTTCAATCCTAGCATTGCCAAAACAAAAAATAAATATTTGGTTGTTCCTGTTGTGTGTGAGTTTAACGTAGGCTTACGAAGTTGGGGTTGTGATGAGAAAGAAAAACAAATCAAGAAATTCCCTTATACTATAGTCAAAGCTTCAGCTCCAGTGCAGATGTATGAAATTCCTCTTGACAGAGCACAGCAAGCTGCCATTTGTCACTGTCTCCTCTCTGAACCTCTTGGTGTGCACCCACAGAGGGATCTCTGTGGCTTCCCATCAGGATGGGGCTTTCAAGCCATTGCTCCAGAAGGCCAGGGGTTCCCTCTTGTGTCCTTTCGATGGAGCAGGGGTTGAACAAGGTAGAGATGGATACAAGAGTCTTTCTCCTTCACTGAAGGCTGGTCATCGACCCCGGCCAGGTGCCATCCTTTAAGAATGTCATTTCATTTCATCTCCATGTCAGAATGACTTCATGAGAGTGACAAGCAGGCCAGCCTCACACCCAGCCCAGACCCCACCTCCTAGGTACAGGGCAGTCCAATAACTCCATCCAACAATTGTGCCCTTCCATCAACAGCCCCATCAGGTGGCCGTTCTTATTCCCAACTGATAATAAGCCCCAGCTGCTGAGAACAACTGAGTGCACAGGCCAGTGTCTGCCCCCTGCTCCACTGTCCCCAACCCCTCCCTCGGGTCACTGGAGCACATTGCTTTCCACATTTTCCCTGCTTCTGTATCTCATGGGTTTAAAACAGCTTCTGCCAACTGTGACTTGCAGTACACTCAGAAGTAATGAATAGCTTAGTCTGATTTCCAGATTCTTTTTTAGAAACCAGTCCCTCAGTTGTTGGGGCTACTAAAATGAGGTCAAATATTCGTTGCACAGGCAGGTAACAAATAAATGTGATGGCATTGACCCTGAGCCGGGGAGCTAAAGATAGCTAACAGTATGGGCTCTGTCCTTGAAAAGATTAAAGCTTAAGAGCCCTATCTCTGCCTCTTTTTCCCCTTGTAATAATACCTGCGTATGCTTACAGGGGAGAGAGCCAGGCTGGAGCACGTGCAAGCAGGAGGCCCCACATGACCCTCTGAGCACTGCAGGACTGTAATAGCCCACAAAACGAATACATTTTTTTAATGACAAAAGTACAGATGATACTTCAGATTATTTAGAAAACCCAAGTAATGAAAGAAAAAATATCACCCAAAATTCAGATGGCATTTTATAAATCCCGAGGTCAGAGGCCAGGTGTCAGCATGTCTATGTCCATCGAATGCTGTCCAGGACCAGAGCAGACCAGCAGACTAGGTGCTCTGTGACTTGGGGACACTCCCACCCCTGCCCCCTGTGGAAGCAACCATGAAGGCAGGGCATTTACCTCCCCCCTCTGGCTATAAAATGACAGATTCGGAAGGTGTCCCCCTGCACCTAAACCTGAAGGGGTGTCATGGGCTCCTGCGTAAACCTAACCTGATGGGTCACCCAGCATGCAACTGGCTGTTTATGTCCTTGTTCAGCCCAATCAACCTTTCCCCATACCCGCAAGAAGTGTGCAGAGGCCGCAGCTCTGCCAGGTACCCAGGCCCCCTCTCCCTCTGCTCTCAGGAAACCTTGGGGGCAGGATGATTTGGTGGTTTGTCGGAGGCCAGTTTCCTGGGGTCAGGGGAACTTGGAGTCTCCCCCTAGTCTGGCTACTCGTGGGTTTGCCTGAGGCAGCTCTCAACCCCGCTGCCTGCGCCCCTTTGACCCCATCGCAAAGCAGAGTCTTTGGACCTGAAGCCCAGGCCCAGAGAGGAAGCCGGGTGGTTCTGTGAGTGGCCTGGGAGGCAGCGTGACCCGCAGTAACAGGCCTGGATGCTCAGCCCCAGCATATGGCAGCTGCTTCATGGGAACTCTGGACAGTGGAACGGGCAGTGGTTTTGCCAAAGGGCACCCAGTGGAGGCAGTGCCTGTCTAGCTCCCCAGATAAGGACAGGATGCAGAGGGAGCGTGTGCTCACATGCAGCTGCAGGACCGGGCATGCCTCGTCCTGGGCAGTGAGGCCCATGGGCTTAGTGTGGCCCATGGGCTTAGTGTGGTTGATTTTGTTTGGGAGCCACACCCAGTGATCCTCAGCGACTACTTTTTGCCACACTTGGCAGTGCACAGAGGACCAGATGGCACTGGGGGTCAAATCTGGGGCCTCCTACACGCCAGAGCAGGTGCTTCAGCCCTTGGAGCTCTCTCCCCAGCCCTACTGATTTCATCAAGAAAGAGAGAAATTTGCAGGATAGGGATTGGAGAGAGAGTACAGCAGGTAGGGGTTTTTCTTGCACACAGCTGACCCAGGTTCGATCCCTTGCATCCCATATGGTCCCCTAAACACTGCCAGGAGTAGTTCCTGAGTGCAGAGACACGAGTAACCTCTGAGCATCACTGGTGTGGCAAAGAAAGAAAGGAAAGAAGAGAAAGAAGAGAGAGAGAGAAAGAAAGAAAGAAAGAAAGAAAGAAAGAAAGAGAAAGAAAGAAAGAAAGAAGAAGGAAGGAAGGAAGGAAGGAAGGAAATTGCAAGACAAAATTATTAGAAACAAGTCATTTTAACAGGCTACTAGCCCACTGGAATGAGCTCCTTACACAATTACTCATTGAATACTATGATTTTGCAGACATGATATGAGGCACTTGACGTGTGTGATTTTTACCTTGCCCTGCTTAATAACTCATTGCATTGGGTATTTCTAGTCCCGTCTGATAGATAGGGCAGGAGAGGGCTGGTGAGGAGATCCAATGAGTGCTGTAGAGTCGTGTCCAGCAGTGGCTGAGCCCCTCCTCTGAGTCAGAAGCCTGTGCTTTTCCACACTGTCAGGCTTTGGGACCTGGACTTGCATGATTCAAGGCAATCCAGGAAATGGGGATGGGGGACTCAGAGCAGCCCCTTTCCTGAGAAGAGGAGCCAGACTGCGTGGAAGGGTTCCCCTTCCATGGGGTCCTCAGCGTCAGGAGGGTGAGCTAATAGCTCAGTGTGGCTGTGTCCAGCAGAAAGTGGCCTAACAAGGCAGCTCACATCTCAGATCTCTCCCCTTTCTGGCAAAGGTCTGTTTCAGGCCCCAGTGCCTGGGGACAGAGTTGCTGCACAGACACCCAGGTTTTCTCCTTTCCCCTCACCCACTGCTGGAAAGAAGCATGCTTGCACAGAGAAGGGGACATATGTGGACAGAGCCCCTGGCTCCTCTGGTTACAACCACAGGGGCCCTTCTGACCTGGGTGTCAGGGACTCGGGTTTTGAAAGTGGGTAATGCTGGGAAGAACCATGGCCAAAGCTGCTTCAGAGCCTGCTCACAGGGAAGATGGGGTCCTGTGCCTGGCAGAGGAAAAGGCTGAGGCAGTGGGAAGCAGAAGGGCCAGCCATGGGCATCCTGCCTGGGCTGGGCCGACCCCAGGGAGTGTGAATCCTCACTGAGATTCACTAGGGAGTGAAATCCACTTCCTGGCGCAAGGGGAGAAGGTCATGCGTGGCTACCAGCAGCCAGGCTCTGAACCATACTTGCTTTCCTTTTGGTAGGGGGAATGCTCTTTTCTCTTTCCGTACCTTGAGATTTAAGCCATTCCCTCTTTCTTTGTGTTTTTCAGATCTTAAATCCCAATTTCATCCAAGAAGGTGAGTCAAAAGGTGACAAGTGAGGGTCTGGGGGTTGGCGAATGGGAGACAAGGCAGCACCAGGCCTTTAACTGTGGGTGGGCATCTGTGCCTGGACAGGGGATAGGGCGAAATTGACCGTTGCACAATGGGATGCAATCTTGGTGAGGAAAAAAGTATGTGCTTATAAGGCCTAACAGAGACCTAGAGCAGCTCTCTGGATCATGGTACGGGGGTTGCTTCTCTGTGCTTCCTAAGTTGTGTGTGATGGGGATGCATGGGTATTACTTATAAAGTGCTTCTCAAAGGTTCACAGGTGACCACAGCCTCGTGTTGAAGGTTCTGTGATCACTGCAGCCCAGGGTGGGCCTGGACATGTGGTGTTGCCCCATGGCCATGTGATGCTAAGTCTGTTCCGAAGGATGCAAATTTGCATTGCTTTGACCACAGTGGCCCCAGAGTTCCTTGTGCCCTTGGTGGATGTGACCTGCTTGCTCGGGGACACAGTGATGCTGCAGTGCAAAGTGTGTGGGCGCCCGAAGCCCACCATCACCTGGAAGGGCCCTGACCAGAACCTCCTCGACACTGACAACAGCTCAGCCACCTACGCCGTCTCCTCCTGGTAAGCCGGTGACCCTGTGCCAGCACCCCAACCCCCACACAGTCCCTGGGCCACAGCCGGCGCAGGTCTGCTGCGATTAGAGCAGGGTTTCTGGGAGCCTTTTCTAGAGCAAACTCCAGAAACGGCCCAGATCCAGGGGGAGAGCATCCAGCCACCCATGCTCACACATTAGAGACACACGATGTGTGCTCACACAGGAGTGAGGAGAGAGCGTCCAGCCACCCATGCTCACGCAACATAGAGACACACTGCGTGAGCTCACACGACAGTGTGTTCTCACAGCAGTGTCTTCACATACTCTCAGGACCCGGGAGATTGCTCAAGGGCTGGGCCGCCTGCCTTGGCGTGCATGAGGCCCCGCACTGGATTCCTGGCACCACAAGGTCCCCTGAGCACTGCCAGCTTTGGCTCTGGTGGCTCCAGCACCCCTGGGCCCTCAGCATTATTGTATTGTAAAGCCAAGCACTGACCCCTCACGCCTGTTTTGCTAAGTATGGCTGGGAGTGACCTCCAGACCCCTGTGTGAGCACTGCATGGTGGACCTCTCAAAAAAATTACGTATGGCCTCAAAAATTACACTGTCTTCACACACTAGTTACCCCCAGGATAGTGTTCTCATGTACTCTCTAATTCCTGTTGGTGGGTACTCAGGACAGGGTGCTCACAAATGCCTATCCCACCACAGTGCTTTGATTGTGGGGTATCTAGCTAGTGTCAGCCTCTCCCAAAGTTACGGGCACATCTAGTGATGGCTGGTACACAGAGACACTCCTGAGATCGCAGTAAGGAAAGGCTGTGTGACACTGGGCCACATCAGAGGGACATTTGTCAAATGTGAGCCTTTTTATCTCACGCCAAGCTTGAGCCAGGTTCTCTCTGAGAGCTTTGCCTCACCCCCACCTCAGCCCAGATTGTTCCCTAAGAACCCCACAGGAATGGGATCCTCAAATTCAGTGGCCCCGCGTTCTGTGCCTTCAGCCCTTGTGAAACAGGCATGTGTTGAGCCACTCGTTAACCTGCGAGCAATTTCCTTAAAGAAAACAAAAGGATCCACTCCAAACTGTTCCACAGACCCTCACTTCTTAACCTGGCCAAGACTCCAGAGAGGGGTGCATGACTGAATGGCAAGGGTCCCCAAAATTGGACACCAGGAAAGGCTTCTTAATGTGCACATGGATTCAGACTCAACCATGTGATGGACCCCAGGGTTCCGGCAGCTCTCGTCCACACTCCACTCCTCTGGTGCAAATGGGGAGAGAGTGGGAGAAGTTTGAGAAGCCCTGGACTGAAAACAACAACGACAACAGCAGCAAAGCCCAGCCAAGGCAGACTCCTCTGCAAAAAGGATGTTGAAGCAAACTAGACTGGGCTGCCTCCCTGCACTCAGTATTTTCTGCTGCTAATTCTGAATTTTACTGTGTGCTACTGCTTCTGGTGCACACAGAGTCCTGAGCGCTTAAGAAACTTGCATCCTTTTATCAAGAGTATCAAGAAACACGTTCTCTAACTCAGGGTCTGTGTGGGTGAGTCTTCCACACGGGACCCGTCAGTGCTCCATCGAGTTTGTTTTGTTTCAGGGCATGGTGAGGAGTTCACCAGGACTTCAGAACCCCAGAGGGCCAGGGTAACTGGGACCCCTGTGTTAACCCTTCAAAGTCTCTGCAGCTGTGATCCCAGACTGGGCCCTATGGAGAGGTCACTCCCTGGGGAGTTTGTTTCACCTCCTTCATCTGATCATTTTGTGGGTCCCTTGTGTAGACTGTCAATTACTTGAACGTGTTCATTCTTCCATCTTTCCATTTCTGGGGCCCTCGATTACTGACCACAAGACTGAACCTATTTTAGGACAGAGTTGTGAGTGATGATTCTGTTTGTGATATTGTAGACTTGTGCTTGTGTAGGATCTTATAGATTCCCAGGGGTCTTCTAGTCCTCACCTGCTTCCCTCCTTCACTCCCTCATATACAATAAACTAGAGAGAGGGGCCTGGCTCATTCCTTCCTGTCAGGAATAAAAGAGCAGATGATGACAAAGAGCAGATAGTCGCTAGTGCGCTCTGTGTAGAAGTGGCCCGACAGGGACAGACCTGATGCCATGCACTGAGTGACAGCCCCCTGGGCCATCCCTGGGACCATGCCTGCCAGTGCATTGCCCAGGATGACTCTGGGGACATCCTTTTGATGTTTCTAGTGACTCCGGGGAGATCACCCTGAAGATCTGTAATCTGATGCCCCAAGATAGCGGGATTTATACCTGCATTGCAGCCAATGACCATGGGACTGCGTCGACTTCAGCCACAGTGAAGGTGCAAGGTACAGGCGATTTCTAATACTCTCAAAGCACTTTTTATTGTAAAAATCCTATCACTTAAAATGTACCATCCTTACTTATATGTAGTATGTAGTCTGATAGTGTTAAAACTACATTCAGGGTTGGGAGCTGGGGAGATGTTTCAGGGGTCACCTCAGACATGCACCTGACACCACCTACAGTGGCCCTGGGAACCCCTGGGCACTTCTGCAGTGGCCCCGGGGATCCCCAGTACTGTAGACCCCGAGCACTGAACCCCTGGCTCAGTTGAATGAATAAGGTCATCAGGTTCCATTAACACCACTTGGGAGACTCTCTAAAACAAATCTTTTTTAAAACTGAATTACTGTTGAGATACACAGTAACAAAGTTGTTCATGATTGGGTTTCGGTCATACAATATTCCCAGCCCCAGCCTGCCTCTACAGCAGACACTTTTCTTCTCTCCCCCCCTCCCTCTTTTTCCCTCTCTCTCTCTCCCTTCCTCTCTCTCTCACTCTCTCACTCTCTCTTTCCTTTTGAGTGTTATGGTTTGTAAAACAGGTACTGAAAGGTTATCATATCTATCGCTTTATCTGCTTCCAGCCCTCAGTTCTTATCCAGAGTTATCATTCCCAGCTACATTTGTCATAGTGGCTTCTTCTCTGTCCTAACTGCCTCCCCCGTCCCCTCCCCACTCCCCCAACCCCCACCAAACCCCCATCACAGGTGGCAAGCTTCCAACCAGTCCTCTTTTCTACTCTTCTTTGGTATTAGTCTCATATTATATTGTTTTTGTTTTAATATCCCACAAATCAGTGCAACCATTGTATGTTTGTCCCTCCTCCTCTGGCTCATTTCCCTCAGCATAAATCTTTTAAGCACATTCAAGAACCAGGAGACAGCTCAAGTGGCAGAGCCCAGGCATAGCAGGTGCAACCCCTGAGTTCAGTGCCTGGCACAACATCCCATAAACAGAGCATACTGCCAGGGATAGCCCTGGTGTGGGGACACCCCTCCCCCAGCACCACCCACAGTAGCCCTGCCATCCCCAGCACCTCTAAGTGTGACCCCTTTAACAAAAGGAAAATAAAATACACTCACCTTGTTAAGCAACCAACCTCCAGAACCCTTTGATCCTTTAAGAGTAAAACTCTGTCCCCCCGAAAAACAACTTCCCTCCCCTCTCTTCCTAGCCCCGGTAACCACTGTTCTCTCAGATTCAATGCATTGGTGCCACTTGTGCATTTTAAAGGAAATCTGATAGGGTCCCGTGAGAACTAGGGAGGAGAATCCACTGGGAAGTTCCAAAACCCTAACCAGTGGGGAGAAAGAGGTCCTTTGCTAAGATCTCAGTCCACTGGCTGCATGGCCACCTAAGAAGCTTTGCCCCTGCAGGGTCTAGCTCAAGGCTCGAGGAGAGGTTCCCAGCCTCCCCCAGTCCCTGGAGCAGGACGGGCCACTTGGAGGAGATCAGAGGGTCAGTGTGAGAACAGACGAGGTCCCACTTCCAGGTGACCTTCCATTGTGATATCTAATGCCAGGTTCCGCTGAAATATCTGAGCCCTCGTGTCTGTTCGCAGGTGTGCCGGCCGCCCCCAACCGGCCCATTGCCCAGGAGAGAAGCTGCTCGTCTGTGATCCTGCGCTGGCTGCCACCATCCAGCACAGGCAACTGCACCATCTCGGGCTACACTGTGGAGTACAGGGAGGAAGGTGCGTACCTCGTGCCTCCCACCAGAAGCCCCTCAGGGCCACAGGGTGTGCATATCTTTCTCCCACCTTATGTTCTGGCATTCCAGCCTCTGGCCAGACCCAGCCACCTTCTGGGAGGGAGTGGGCTGGGTTCCCTGGTACCTCTGCTGCCCACTGCACAGGGATGGGCAGCTCCTTATGCAGATAAGTACGCTGAGTGCTAGAGCGAGTCAAGAAACTGGAGTCTGGGGGGCTGGAGCAATAGCACAGCAGGTAGGGCGTTTGCCTTGCACATGGCCAACCCGGGTTCGATTCCTAGCATCCCATATGGTCCCCTGAGCACCACCAGGGGTAATTCCTGAGCGCAGAGCCAGGAGTAACCCCTGTGCATTGCCGGGTGTGACCCAAAAAGCAAAAAGAAAGAAAGAAACTGGAGTCTGGAGGTGGTGTAGGCACTTGAACCTCAGCTGATGAATTTGTGACCATTAAGAACAAGGGTAGGAAATCGGAGTTTTACGCTGGGGACAATCGGGGGAATATACGCATACACACTTGCCTTTGCATACGTAATAGGACTTACAATTTCTAAACGTTTTGCATTTACATGCTATAATTACCTGTATTTCTTCAGCAATTGAAAATAACTCACGTTACATTAGAATATTATTAATACATTGTGATATGTAATATAGCAACATGTACTATATGTGATTGTGGGGTTAGCCTAATTTAAGTGTGAGGTTGGCTTTTAAAATTGCTTGAAGGGTGTTGGAGAAAGTACAGTGGGGAAGGAGCTTGCTTTCCATGTGGCCAGCCCAGGTCCAATCAACCGTACCACAAATGGTTTCCTGAGTCCTGCCAGGAGTGACCCCTGAGTCTGTACAGACCCAGGAGTAAGCCCTGAGCACCCCTGGGTATGGCCCCCAAGCAGAACAAACAAAAACAAAAGACCCCTGACAACTAGTAACCGAGTTGAAATAAGAAGCTTCCAGCTGAGGCAGGAGTAATAGTACAATGGGTAGGGCATTTGCCTTGCATGTGGCTGACCCAGGTTCTATTATCAGCACCTGATATGGTCCCCTGAGCCCACCAGGAGTAAGCCCTGAGTACCAGTGGGTGTGGCCCCAAAACCAAAACAAAAAGGAAGCTGGCTGAAATTGTTACCAACATCTTGGAGTCACAGCAGGAATTCACAGTGCATGGGAAGCAGCCACTTCCTCTGGCACCCACACCTTGTGGTGGACTCACCTGGCCCTCCGCCTTTGTCAGACAGTCCCCTGTCTGGCAGTTTCTTTTCACTTCCTGAGCTGTTTGCAGTCCTGTCTCAGCGCAGAGGTGTTAATGCCGAGCTGGGAGGCATGTTGGCCAGAGTCCCCTTTACACTGGGGTTTTCATTTCCAGTTCATCTGTGAACAGCTGCTACCGGGAAAGTTATTTCCTCTTTTGAGTCTTGGATTCTTGTCTGTAGAGAAATGACTGTTCCTCCCCTCAGGGAGACCTGCTGGTGAGCACGCTGACCTGGCGTGTGCCACCACAGGCTGACACTCAACACACAGCTCAGCTCCAGTGTCCTGTGTGTAGTGAGAGCGTTCAGAGAGAGAATTCCAGGAGACGCCTTCCATCAGAGCTCCTGCTATGTAGTGAACCAGTGACATGTCTGTTGCTTCCATTTCAAGTGTTTCTTTACTAACCTTTCATTAGTAATAGATGATGTACTCTTCTGGCCTGTTACAGAGTTACCCCATTTTTCTCTATGAATCCTGGCTTCTCCCTGTCATGAAAAGGAACTGAGTCTCTAAACCAGCTGCCTGCACCTCCCTCATGATACTTTCACAGAGGGAATGAAAAACTGTGCTGTTGACCCTCTGGCCTTCAGGGCCTTCTGCTGTGGCCCCAGCTGGCCCTTAGATGAAATGTGTCATTTCCCTTTTTTTTTTGTTGGCTAAAGTGCTGAAGGCCTTTGACGTGGTCTCTCTGACTCTCTCTCCCCACACCGCCCCCCGGGATTTGGTGTACAGGTTCCCAGGCCTGGCAGCAGTCAGTGGCTTCAACCCTGGACACTTACCTCGTCATTGAAGACCTCAGTCCCGGGAGTCCTTATCAGTTTCGGGTCAGTGCCAGTAACCCCTGGGGGATCAGCCTTCCCAGTGAGCCCTCGGAGTTTGTGCGGCTTCCAGAGTATGGTGAGTGTTCTGTGTATCGCTCATCTTCTCCCAAGCACTTTGCTTCTTGTGAACCCTAATTGCCAGCTGACAATAAAAACGCATGTGTGTGTGTGTGTGTGTGTGTGTGTGTGTGTGTGTTAGAGAGAGAGAGAGAGAGAGAGAGAGAGAGAGAGAGAGAGAGAGAGAGAAGGAATTATTGCCAGGGAATGGACACTTCCCACAAGGTCATGCTCGGATGGTGTTTGGGGGCGCGTGGGGCTATTGGGTCTACCAGGGACACTTTACATTTCTTTACACTCCTGGATGAGGAGCCCCATATGAATGCTCCATTGTTCTCCGTTCCCACCCTTGCCTGTCATGGCACCCCTCCCTGCCCAGCCTTCATTCTCATTGGCTTTTCTTACCCTTCGAAGTGTTTTCCTTTTGGTTTTTTCCTACCCACTTTCTGTTTTAAGTCACCCGGAATTTTCATTTCCAAGGGCCTTGCATTTTCTCTTTGTTTCCCTAGATGGTACGGGGTGTCTGACCCCATCATGTCACTTTCCCCTAGGATGAGATTCTTAAAAATAGCTCTGCAGAGGATCATGGCATTTTCCCACTGTGCGCGACTCCATATTTAGTCATGAGCGCTGCTTTGGGGCCTTGCTGAAGCTTTCCTGTTGACCTTTGCCTATTCTTAAATGACATCTCAGTATCAAATTCTCTCTCCCCCCAAAGATGCTGCTGCTGATGGCGCCACCATTTCTTGGAAGGATAATTTTGATTCTGCTTATACGGAACTGAATGAAATTGGAAGGTAATGACAGTTTTCTATTCCTTTCCACACACACACACACACACACACACACACACACACACACACACACGTTGATCAAAACCGACTTATTTTTGGTGTTCACTATATAAAGTGCTATCTTGCTCTAGTTTTTTTTTTCTTTTTGGGTCACACCCGTCAATGCTCAGTGGTTATTCCTGGCTCATGCACTCAGGAATCACTCCTGGCCGTGCTCGGGGGACCATATGGGATGCTGGGAATCGAACCTGTGTTGGCCATGTTGGCGGCATGCAAGGCAAACGCCCTACCCGCTGTGCTATTGCTCCAGCCCCCTTGCTCTAGTTTTAAGAACTGAAATATGAGTCTTTTCTATTCCTCTTGTCTCTAACTTATTAAGTTGCTTACTTCATTCATCAACTTTCAGCCTTTCTTCTTCCCTTGTAAAAAAAATTTAGGACTCAGGGCTGGCTAGTACAGCATATAGGGCTCTTCCTTGCCTATGGCCAGCCCAGCTTTGGTCCCCAGCACCCCACATGTCCCCTAAGTCCTGCCAGAAGTGATTCCTGAGTGCAGAGCTAGGAGTAATCCCTGAGCATCACCAAGTGTGGCCCCAAACCCCCTCCCTGTCACACACACAGAAAAGAATTTAAGACAACATTTCTTTTTTTCAAAGTACAATTTTGGCTACACATTTCAGGCTATGTCATGTGGCATGTTTTTGTTGTTTTTATTTAGTTCCAATATGTTTCTGGACTTAAAATTATAAGTTATATGGGTTCTAAAGTTTCCAGATGTGGTAATAGTTTTTAAAAATTATCTTTTGTGGGCTAATGAGATAGTACAGCTAGTAGGGTAGTTGCTTTGCATGTGACCACCCCCGGTGTGATCTCTGGCACTACAAATGGTTTCCTGTACACACCAGAAATGATCCCTGAGCACAGAGCCAGGAGTAATCCTTAGCACTGCCAAGTATGACCTGAAAATAAAACAAAATGAAAGTATCTTTTGTTACTGATTTAATTTAATTGAACTGTGGGTGGAGAATATGTTCTATATGATACTGATTTCTTGGTTTTTGTTGAAATTTTATCAGTTTTTGTTTAAAATAAAAAGAAAGTTTCATGTGTCCCTAAGAAAAACCAAACAACTCACTGTTAAATACAGGACTCTGCATGTGTCCATGTAGCAAACACACGTGGCATTTCTAACAAGACCCCTCTTCAGGGCCAGAGTGATAATACAGCAGGGAGGGTGTTTGCATTGCATGCAGACAACTTGGGTTCTATCTGAGGCATCCCATATGGTCCCCCGAGCACAGCCAGGAGTAAACCCTGAGCATTTCTGGGTGTGACCCCCCACCAAAAAAAGACCCCTCTTCATAATATACACACTCATGCTACTCCCATCCTCCCTCCCTCCCCACCCCCCTCTCTCTCACACACACACACACACACACTCACACACAAAAAATTTGGTTAGAAAAGTGTTCCCTTAGGATGGGAAGATAATCAAAGTGCTGAATTTGATTATCCAGCTTCCCATGTGGGAGCCCTGGCCTGGCCTATGGCACTTCATGGAGCACTTCCTGGAACAATTCCTGAGCACTGAGCAGGGAGTAGCTCATGAACATCAAAAAATATAACCCCAGAAAAACCTGTGCCCTCAAAAATAAATATATCTACATACATAATGTATACATGTATATTGAATATTAAAATACATTTTATATATTTATATATTATATATATCTGAAACTTTTCATTTATCACAAATAGACCACATTTTCAGAAGATTCTTTTCTGTTTGGGGGCCACACCTGGTGGTGCTCTGGGCTTACTAATGTCTCTGATCTCAGGGATTGCTCCTGGTGGGTTCAGAGGACCAGTTGGGATGCTGGGGATCTAACCCAGGTTGACTGCATGCAAGACAACTGTTATGGTGTTTCTCTGGCATCTAGAAGATTTTTGAAAACTTTTGTATGTGAACTGAATGGAATGAAAATAAAGTTTGTCTATACTTATATAGACATATAAACAACATCTGCCTGGCGTCATAAAGGTCAACTTTCTTTATCATACCTAAACCTGTAAATTAGGCCTATATGTTTGTTTTGTTTAAAAAACTCAAACAATTAAATGTTATAGAAATTAGGGTTCTTTTGCCAGAGAGATAGTACGGGGAGTAAAGTACTTGCCTTGCATGCAGCTGACCCTGTTCAATCCCCAGTACACAAGTAGTTCCCCCAAGAACTGCCAGGAGTGAGCCCTGACCACAGAGCCAGGAGTAAGCCCTGAGCACTTTTTTAGCCAAAATCAAACAATCAGACAAATAAAAATTAGGGTGAAAGAGAATTAATTTTATTCTCATACCCCATCAATAGAAGCAAAGAGGATTTGATTTCTCTATCCAGAAATAAGTTATCTGAGCATCACAGATTTAATAAGCCAAGAATTATCCACAGGGAATTCAGATTGGCTACCTGGATGGGGTCTGAAAGACAGTTGTTTCCAGGCTTCCAGGTCTTGGAGGGCAGAGGGAACCCAGCCAGTCAATCCCTTCTGGACTTCACTAACTCTGCAATAGAGAATTGTTCAGGCACACCATAAGGGAGGGGGCGCTGAAGAGGAGACAGAAGTGTAGAGCATGAGATGCAGGAAGCACAGGAGGACTGCTGGACTGAGCAACAGTACAGTGGGTAGGACTCTTGCCTTGCATGTGGCTGACCCAGGTTCAATCCCTAAACCCACCAGGAGTGAGTCCTGAGCACAGAGCTGGGAGACCCCTGAGCACTTCTGGGTGTGGCAAAAATAAACAAACAAACAAACAAAAGTAAAATAAAATAACCCAGGACCAGAGAAATAGCTCAATGGGCTGAGCACGTGCTGGGAAGGCTCAGGTTTGATCCCTGTCACCAGATGTTCTCCCAGAACCACCAGGATGACCAGAGCAGAGCTGGAAGTGACTGCTGAGCACTGAAGGGTGTGGCCCCTAAATCAAATATCATAAAACAAAGTGACAGCTTCCAATGTCAGCCAAGATAATGTGATCCCACTGTAGCCTTTTAAAATTCATTAATTATACTGGGGCTGGAGTGATAGCACAGCGGGTAGGGCGATTGCCTTGCACGCAGCCTGCCCGGGTTCAATTCCCAGCATCCCATATGGTCCTCTGAGCACCGCCAGGAGTGGCTCCTGAGTACAGAGCCAGGAATAACCCCTGTGCATCGCCAGGTGTGACCCAAAAAGCAAAAATAAATAAATAAATAAAATTTCATTAATTATAACTGGAATCTCTGGACAGATTACAAAAATTGACTACTGAGGATTCTAAAAAGGAAGTAGTAGGGATGCTGGGGAGGGAAGTCAAAACCTGAAGAGCAGTAACAATGCCCTTTCTAGGTTTTTCAAATCTTTTCTACTTTGTTTCTGCCTTTCTGATAAGAATGGGACAAATTAATGAGCTGTACCGTATGCAGAGAGCGATATCTTGCAAAGAAACTCATCTTTCTGCCTAAAATACAGACAACAAAGCTGGAGGGATAATATAGAAGTTAACGACCTTCCTTGCATGTATCCAGACCCAGTTCAGTCTCCAGCACAGCATATGGATACCCTTAGCACTGCCAGGAGTGATCCCTGAGCACAGAACCATGAGTAATCCCTGAACACTGCCAGATACAACTCCCACCCCCTCCCCCCAAAGCAAAAATGTAGACAGCTAGGGTTCCTTGCCCCTTTGAACGGAGCAGCAGAAACCACACACAACACACAAACACACACAAACATATACATACTACACACTATACACTACACACGTGTCCTGTACCACTGCTGTAGTCCGGAGTCCTTCACACACAACTACTCAGTTTCAGGCAACCGAAACATCTTTCTGGTCAGAGGAACCACAAAAGGGGGCCCATGGGAGCTAAGGAATGTGGAGGAAATATCAGGGAGAGAATAGCCAGAGAAGGATACCCGAAATCTGTGTGTGAAACAACGAACACTGTCGGTGAATTCCAAGTGTGCATGTATGGGGGTCCACAGGGGAAGCAGAGTGAGGCTGTGAGAGCTGACGTAAGCCAGCCTGTGCTCTGCCACCTTGCAGGGATGCAGCAGTGCAGACACATCTTTGAAAGTGCCCCAAGGGGGTAGTCACGAATAGCATCACAGACACTTTGAAAACGACTGATAGTGAGAACCACCTGACCCCAAACCTGAGAAGGAAACAGCAGCCTGGATCTAACCAAGCTGGCTGACTGCGGGCATGCAAACAAACAAAAAGCCCACATTCTCCAGAGGAGTTTAATGAGACCCAGTCTCACAGCCTTACCCTCACAATGCGCAGGATCACTAAACATAATAATAAGTGAAGCGGAGAGATCAGGACAATCTAACAAATTCCCAAAGGGGAGAAAGCTCTACAGATGGCAGCTCAGAGAAAAATCTAGATGTTGGCATTTTCAGACTTTAAAGCAACCATTGTAACCATCTTCTTGAGGTAGAGGTAAGCACTCTTTATTTTTTCAAAGATGTGAGGCACTCAGAGGCAGTGCTCAGAGGCCAATGAGCTACTCCCAAGAATCCTTGGTCTTGCTACATTAGGCCTGACAATTCTGCATTGAGAACAGTGATGCAGTGGTGTGGAGGTCAGCGGTGGAGTGGCTCAGTGGCATGTGGTGCAGTGAGACAGTAGTGCAGTGGTGCAGTGATGCAAAAGCATAGTGATACAACAGTGCAGTGCAATGGTTCTGCAGTGCTAGGATGGTGCAGTGATACAGTGATGCGGTGATAAGTTGATGCAGTGTTATGGTGATGCAGTGGTACAGTGATGCTCAACTGCAGCCTATGCACACCTGATGGTGCTGTGCTGGACAATGGAGCATTACAGTGCAGGATATTCAAACGGGGCGTCCACTAGCAAAGCATGCACTCCAGCTCTTTGAACCACCTCCCTGGCCTCAAGGTGAGCACTTTCCCTCCCAAACCTTTCCTCTATTGTCGATGCTGTTGCATTGGTGGTGCAGCGATGCACACACATAGCTGTGGTGCTTGTGGGAGGGTGGCGCGTGCACAGCTCTCACTGAAGTGTGAACTGCTTCATGGTGCACACATGTTTGTTAGGGCATACGTGTTTCTTTGAGGTACACAGGTCATGGTTAGGGTCTCACTAGGGATCACTATGGCACTCACACAGATGCTTGCCAGAGGGCACAGTTCCTGGACATGGTGTTCACACACTTTTCTTTTGTTTTGGTTTTAAATCATACCTGGCTGTGGTCAGGGCTTACTCCTGACTCTGTGCTCAGGGAGCACTCCCAGTGGTGCTGGGGGAGCATACGGATGCTGGGTATTGAACCCAGGCAGACTGCATTCGAGGCAAGCACCCAACCTACTGTACTATTGCTCCAGCCCCACACATCATTTTAGTTGCAGTGCTCAGAGGGGGTCACAACCCTTATTGTGGTGCTTAAAAAAACTGGCTATGGTGCTTCTGGAATTCACTCTAACCACGACCTGAGCCCCTCAAAGAAACACATATGCCCCACAAACATACAAAGCTGCCAGAATCACCCTAAGTGCACATAGGACACAGGGAATTTGAACTCATGACCATATGTTTTCAAGGCAGGGGCTCTAAGACTCTGAACTATTTCTCTAGGTCTCAAATTGAATGCTTGTTTAATGGGTGGAGATACTGTTTTAAGCAGAAAAATAGAAATAATTTCAAAATGGAAATTATATAACTAAAAAATATTTTAAATTCTTAAATCACTCGTTGACCTAAGTAGCTAAATGAAAATGATGAAAACTGTGTCAATGAAGTTGAAGCTAAAGAAGTAGAAATGATCTAATGTGAAGAACACTTAAAAAAATTCTGCATTTAAAAAATTGAGTCCATGGGGCTGGAGCAATAGCACAGTGGGTAGGGCATTTGCCTTGCACGTGGATGACCTGGGTTCAATTCTCATCATCCCATATGATCCCCCGAGCACCGCCAGGAGTAATTTCTGAGTGCATGAGCCAAGAGTAAATAAACCCTGCACATTGCCATCCAAAAAGAAAAAAAAAAGAGTCTCAGTAAAAAAATTGAGTCCAGAGGTGATAGCACAGTGGATAGGGGGTAGGGCGTTTGCTTTGCATACGGCCAACCCGGGTTCGATCCCTGGCATCCCATATGGTTCCCTGAGCACCGCCAGGAGTAATTCCTGAGTGCAGAGCTAGGAGTAACCCTGAGCATCACCAGGTGTGCCCTGTGCACTGAGCCAACCAAGTTGTAGAAGTGTCTGAGTATTGCTGGGAGTACCGTACCCCCCAGCCCATTCCCTGAACACTGCTTGGGAGCCCCCCATCCCACAGCAAAAACCAATCAACCAAACAACCATAAAACAGAAAACAGACATCCCAGAGAGAAAGAATAGACAATGAAAGATAAATAATGGTTTTTAAACTAAAGTGTGAAAGGAAATGCATCTGCCAACTAAATGACTACCTCGAATGGTCAGTGGATTAAAATAGAGTCAAGGAATCTCAGTGTGAAATTTCTCAAATTAAAGAAGGCACGAGTCTACATATCTTCCAATGAAGGAGAAAAGATCATAGACAAAGGACTAGAAATGATAATTATTTGAACATAAACACTTTTTTTGGAGTTTGAACCACACCCAACACTGGGCTGGGGTTACTTCAAGATCAGTGCTCAAAGGTCATCGCAGCAATGCTAGAATAGAACCCAGAGGCCTGCCTTGTGACTTGTTTACCTCTTTCTCTGCCCTTACCACTGACCATTTTTGCCTTCTAATTCACTGTCACCCCTGATGGGGGCTCTGCTGAGGGGGACCAAAGCCTCTATTACAGATGTGACTTGCTTGGTGGCTGTGTATTTGTACGCTTCCTAGTCAAACAAGATACTTGAAATATCTGAGTATTTATGAATAAGCAATATGATATATAAATTTACCTTAAATAATGTGAATTACCTTAAATTCGGCTTCCAGAGAAAGGAAAAAGCAGAGCAGTGGGTTAAAAAGAGGAAGTAAGATTGGCAACATGTTGGCAGTTACTGGGGCTGACTGCTGGTTACAGAGAAGTTATGCTAGTCCTTCAGCTTTTGTATTTGAGAATTTTCAAATTTTCAAAATTTTAATTGGGCAAAAATAGATATAAAATAAAGATTTAAAGTTTCCTGGTTTGGAACTGGAGAGATAGTACAGTGGGCGAGGATCTTTCCTTTCCCTGGCTTATGTCCTGCGCCCATTCAGTCCCTGACATCAGATACAGTTCCCGTGCCACACCAGAAGAGATCCCTGAGCAAAGAGTGAGCTATGAGGGTGGTCCCCACACCAAAAGCACGCCCCCAAAGATGCCTGGCTAAAGTGGGTTTTTTTTCTTTTAGATCTAGATTTCTTCCTTCTTTAATATTAATCCTGTTGCTCTCCTTTTTCCTTCCTTCTTTCTTTCTTTCTCTCTCTCTTTCTCTTTCTTTCTTCCTCTCTCTCTTTCTCTCTCACTTCCTCTCTCTCCCTCCCTTCCTTCCTCCCTTCCTTCCTTCCTCCCTTCCTTCCTTCCTTCCTTCCTTCCTTCCTTCCTTCCTTCCTTCCTTCCTATCTTTTTTCTTTCTTTTTCTTTCCTTCTTTCTCCCTCTTTCCTTCTTTATTTCTTTCTTTTTTGCCTTTGGATTAACACTCAGTGGTGCTCAGGGCTAACTCCTGGTTCAGAGACTTCTCCTGGGGTTGCTCAGGAGACCACATGAGATACCAGTGATGAAACCCAGTTGCTACATGCAAGGCAAGTGCCCTATCTGCTTTGTTACTGCTCTTGCCCCACACTCCTTAAATGTCACAAAAATGCGCTTTACTTAGTAAAGAAAACTCAGCCTGTACTTGATGCACAAGGTAACATGGAACTCTGTTGACTGAAAAACGATAATAGTTCACTCTTGGCATCTCAGAGAATCCCGGGATGCTCAGGGAGGAGAAATGGCTTTCTGCTTTCCAGCCTTGTCATTCGAGAAGACAGGAACATCGGGTTGCAGTGAAAGGTCTCTGTGTGTGCCACAAGGGTGCTCAAATCCTTGCGCCCAGGGAGGCCGGGTGGGTGGAGGGCCCTGGCTGACGGTGCTCTCCTCATGCTTTCCAGAGGTCGCTTCTCCATCGTGAAGAAGTGCGTGCACAAAGCCACACGCAAGGATGTCGCGGTGAAATTCATCAGCAAGAAAATGAAGAAGAAGGAGCAGGCTGCCCATGAGGCAGCACTCCTACAGCACCTGCAGCACCCCCAGTACATCACTCTCCATGACACCTATGAATCCCCCACGTCCTACATCCTCATTCTGGAGCTGTGAGTACTGGGAGCGGCTCTTGAAAGAGTGCCTGAAACTAAGGGGGCAGCATCTTCCCCATGAGCTTGTACGTGCCCGGTACTTGCTCCTCCAACCTATACCAAAATGCACCCACACTCTATAGATGAGAAGGGTGGGAGTGAGGAGCAACCAGAAATGGAGGGTCAGGAGAAATAGGGCCTGGATCATGCTTCTCTCCGTTCTGCAGTGGACTCAACTTGGTCAGGAATTTTGAAGCATTGGTCAACCCTGGGCTGCGTGGAGCCAAAATTAAAAAGTGGTTTGTGCATTTGTTCCCAGCAATTGGCATACCCAGTCAGATGCCCAGGAAATTCCTGATGACTGGGATCTTTCCTACAAACACTCCACCCATTCCAGACTGTCGAGGGAATCAGGCAGCATTCAACATGCCCCTCTACTTGGCCCCATCACCTTAGCCCTTACTCAGAGCAATGAGCCCACTCTCTCACCTCCATTACCCAGGCTATGAAAGAGGCCAGCTTGGTTAGCAATCTAAACGGTCAAAGAGAACAGCGCCCTCATGAAAGGCTCTCAGATAAGTAAAGATGAAGGATAATGCCTGGAAGGCAGAGCTGTGAGGCTGTTCATGGGCAAGTTCACAAGAGAAGCACGTCCACTCGCAGCTGCCATTTCAGTCTGACTCTTGGGTCCTTGTTGATATAGGTATGCATTGGGACCAAAGTCTTAGAGAAATAACTTACCTTACATTTATTTATGATAAAAACCAGGTGCAAACATCTTCAGTTACACTTTTTAATTGAAAAGAAAAAAACACAAGAGGAGGGGCCAGGAAGATAGTAAAGCAGTTTAGTGTCATGCCTTGCCTGGATTGACCCCAGTTTGATCTTCAGCAGCCAAATATTCCCTGGGCACCACCAGGTCCAAGTAGCAAGTACACTCAGGTCTTCCCATTGAACTTCTGTCCAGTTAACCAAGCAGCCCAGGAGGGATCTCCAGATCTCATGAGCACCACTCCAGAAAGTAAATAAATGAATAACAAAAGAAGAAAAAAGAGGATTCAGAATGCCAGGATGCCAGGTTTTATCCCTAGCACTCCATATGGTCTCCTGAGAACTGCCAGGAGTGATCCCTGAGCACAGAGCCAGGAATGAGCCACGAGAACAGCTGAGTGTGACCAAAAAAAAAGTACTATTGACATTACCAATTCTTTTGGGCTACTGAACTGTATATGGTATATTGTTTTCACTTTTTTTTAATGTAGGAGTACTGCTATTTATTCAGCCACTGATTAGCTGATTGAATTGGGCATGAACTCCACCTTACTTTTTTTTTTCATTTTTTATAATTTTATTTATTGAATCACCGTGAGAGCAGTTACAAAGTTTTCAGGTTTAAGTCTCGCTCATACAATGAAACACCTGTACCTTCACCAATGCCCATTCTCCACCACCAAAAACCCCAGTATACCCCCATCCCATACCCTACCCCTACCTGTGGGGCAGATGATTTCCACAATACTCGCTCTCTACTTTGATCACATTTAATATTTTGACACCAGACCCACCACTATTATTTTGGATTTTACCCCAACACTCAGATCTGCTGGAAAGGCAAGAGTAGACAATTTATTTTCTATTGCTGGTTAAGTAATAACATATGATGTTGTGTGGTTGCAGTAGTGGCTGCACGATTTTGAAATTCCAAAATTTTAACACTTAAAACTGGAGGGATTTCTGCCAAAACCTGCTGGGTTCCGAGATTTGTTCCTGAGTCTCTGGGATCATGGCCGTTAAGAGCTTGATCAGGATCCAGAAAGGCCATTCATGGGCGAAGACTCGGGGTCTCTTTGGGACGGGCAGGAAAGGGCGGCTCCACCCCCATCCCATGAGGCCCTGCATGTCTCGTCACTGACGGCCCAAACCTGACTGTCCAATGGCCTCTGAAGGATGGCGGCCACTGGGCCACCAGGGGGAACAGGCCAAGGCACGAAACTTATTCCCACCTGGGTTGGCCCAGTGCTGGTAACCTACTGCAGGGGACCAGACGGATTTCTGCCAAAAGCCGCTGGGTTTCAAGATTTGTTTCTGAGTCTCTGGGATCATGGCCATTAAGCAGCTTGATCAGGAGCCAGAAAGGCTGTTCATTGGCAGCAACTCGGGGTCTCATTGGGGTAGGGAGGAAAGGGCCGGCTCCACCCCCATCCCATGAGGCCCCGCGTGTCTCGTCACTGCGGACCCAAACCTGACTGTCCAGTGGCCTCTGGAGGATGGTGGCCACCAGGCCGCCAAGGGGAAAAGGCTAAGGCACGAAACCTATTCCCACCTGGGTTGGTCCAGCACCAGTAATCTACTGCAGGGACTGGACACATTCTGCCAAAAGCCGTTGAGTTTCGAGATTTGTTTCTGAGTCTCTGGGATCATGGCCATTAAGCAGTTTTATCAGGAATCAGAGAGGCCTTGCCTCCAATTATATAGCTGAGCCCAAGTTGGTTTGTGGGTGTGTCTCCCACATACCTAACTTTTGGCCATTTACTTTCTTGGTAAACTTTGCCCCAAGTTTTTGGGGTCTGTCCAAAGTCACAGCAGCAATTTTGGGGTATCTGGAAGTCTGAAGGCACCATCAGACTGCTGATGCACTCACCTCACAGGTACAGATTGACCTGCTGGTGACACTATACCCCCTTATTGTTTTCACTTTGAACTTAACACTCTCCTGGTCTTTTAGAGTTTAACTCCATTGGTTAGGACCTTCTTAAATCTATAGGCACATTCTGTTGATAGTGAGTTGTTTATGAGTGACAACTCTTGCTGCATTTTGCATTAAAATCTTTTGACTCTTGCATTCATTAACTCATTGATGTGTTACGGTGTTGCAACTTCTGTTCACAAAACTACATTCAAGTGTGAACCACCAGTGGTACACACATGCACTGACTTCACCTTCGCATGTGCTAATTAATCCTGCAAGGAAAGATATGGGTCCCCAGGCTCTAGTAGAAGGGAAAGAAGTTGTAGAATAAAGAAAATGAACACTCGGAGGTCAGTGATATAGCCACTGCCTTGCAGGGCTGAGGCAGAAAAGAGAAGCTGGGCTCTCAGAAACATCCTGTGGTTTGGGGCAATGAGCTTAGTTTTCTGTCTCTTAGGGACCTCATCTGTGAAGTTCCTGGCACCTCAGAGATGTGGCAGGAGAACCTAGATAAATAATGGATGAAACTAGTTAATCAAACGTTGACAAATCACTCCCTGGTGGGTCAGCTGTGTTTAGGCCTGGGCCAGAGGGAAAGAACAAAGATACAGATCTGAGTTTCTCACTAGAGCTGAGCTCTGGAGTTGGCCTGACAGGACTTGGACGCTCTGGGGAAAGATTGTGCTTGTGACCCCTTGTGAGCAGCCTCTGGGGATCCTTCCCCAGCAGAAATGAGGCTGTAAGCATATACCTGGCACAGGGTTCTGTTCTTCCAAGGCAGGTCCCCAAAATAATGTTTCTGTTGCTCTGAAATCTAGTTTCTTTGACCTCTTTGTGTGTCTTGACTTGATGCGCCTGTTGGTGATGTGCGTGTGTCTTCAACCTCTTGTCTGGGAGCCAAAGAGACGGTGTGAGAAGCTAACTTTCTATCTTCCAACTCAGTTTCTCTTCCCTGTCAGAGTGTGTGTGGTATGTGTGACATGAAGGGAGTTGTTCCTACAGGAGGTCAAGAAGACCTGCTACCATACACGCTAGTTACGAAACAATCCCTGTTTTCTTCCTTTGGGTTTATTTGTATTCTCCAGCATATAGACAGTCATTTCTCAGTTTCATGGCTAATCTCAGAAGAGACACCAAGCCAGTGATACTCCCAGGTACACTGGTCTTTGGGCTGAAAACACGAGGGCCTTCTCAGTGTGGAAGTAGGCAGCTTCCCCCCACCCTGCCCCCCTACTGCTGGAAACGCCAGCAACCACACCCAACCCCCACACCTCCAGCCTATAAACAGCCCAACTTCACAGGTTCATGACAAATCTAAAGAGATATCAAGCCAAAGAATTGTCTAGTTCTACAGCTGGGTGAAACACATCCTTGACCTTACTGGATCCTGGCACCAATCTCGTAATGAAGTAGGGATTGTTGTTGTGATTCCCATCTTCAAGAGGAAGAGAATGAAACATGATGTTTTATTTGTTAGGGTGGGGCAGTTCGAGGCCACACCCGGCAGTATTGAGGGGATACTCCCTGTGTGGTGCTCTGCAATCAGTCCTGTGTGAGGACCATAGAGATTGACATGGAACCTCCCACATGGAAAGCATGTGCACTAACCCTTTGAGTCATCACCACCACAGTTCAGAAACAGGAGTTTCAAATGGCTTGCTCCCCACCCCCATCCTATGAGTGACCCAACCAGGGTTCTAATTTGGGTCCGTCTGGCTCCTTGCACTGTGTTCTCAGTTGTAGTCTGGAAAGATTGGAAAGTTGCATAGTATTCAGAAGAGGGCCAAGGATGAATTTTGCATGTTTCCCATATTTTTCTCAATGAAAAATGAACTAAAACATGTTATTCTGCTTGCTGCTCTACCGCTTTAGGCAAGGCTTGCCTCTGGCTGACATTGCTGGGAGACAAAGCATTTCCCACAACTGAGGAATATAGGCACTGAGACCCAAGAGGCTCAAATAGACCCAGCAAAAATAGACCCAACTAGGAAAATGCCAAGACACATTAGACTCAAAATGACAAATCCAAAGAGAGAAATAGAATATTGAAAACAGCAAGATCAAAAAAAGGACTTAAATACAAAGGAGATTCCATAGGATGGCACTAATGATGCCTATGGTTGCCCTCTATTAGATTAAGAATGTTTAAAAACATAGCAGTCAGTCATCATCAATTGACTTTTATTGATTTATTTTCTAATAATTCCATTTTCCATTCTTCTAAGTTTTGTTGGAAAAGTAATATGAAATTAATTTGATATATGCCTGCCTAGGGGGTAGTCTGGAAGGTGGAAGGGAACCTGGAGGCATTGATAGAGAGAAAGTGGTGGGCCTGGTATTAGAACATTGTATGCCTGAAACACTCTATTGTGAACAATTTTGTAAACAGTGGTGTCTTAATTTAAAAAAAAATTAAAGGACAAAAACATCCCTGCAAAACCCTCATGCGACTGCTTATAGCCACATTTTATTTTATTATTTTATAAAATAAATAATTTATTTTATTTAAAAAAATTTTTTTAATCACCATGAGATACAGTTACAAAGCTTTCATGATTGAGTTTAAGTCCTACAATGATTGAACACCCATCCCTCCACCAGTGCACATTCTCTACCACCAATGTCCCCAGTATCCCTCCCACACCCCCCATCCCATCCCACCCCCTGCTTCTGTGGCAGGCATCTTCCTTCTTACTTTCTAATTTTGGGCATTATGGTTTGCAATGGCTGGAGTGATAGCACAGCAGTAGGGCGTTTGCCTTGCACACAGCTGGCACGGCCGAGCGGGTTCAATTCCTCCACCCCTCTTGGAGAGCCTGGCAAGCTACCGAGAGTATCGCGCGCGCATGGCAAAGTCTGGCAAGCAACCTGTGACATATTCGATATGCGAAAACACAGTAACAACAAGTCTCACAATGGAGACGTTACTGGGCCCACTCGAGCAAATCGATGAACAACGGGAGAAGAGTGACAGTGATGGTTTGCAATACAGATATTGAGAGTCCATCATGTTTGATCCTTTATCTACTTTCAGCACGTATTTCCCATCCTGAGCGATCCCTCCAACTATCATTGACTTAGTGGTGCTTTCTCTATCCCAGCTGCCTTTTGCCCAACACATGAGGCAGACTTCCAAACTGTGAGTCGATCTTCCCAGCCCTTGTCTCTACTTTCCTTAGGTGTTAGTCTCATGTTTTGATATTTGATATTCCACAAATGAGTGCAGTTATTCTATGTCTGTCCCTCTCTTTCTGACTCATTTCACTTAGCATGATACTCTCCATGTCCATCCACTTATAAGCAAATTTCATGACTTCATTTTTTCTAACAGCTTCTTAGTACATTGTGTAGATGTACCAAAGTTTCTTTAACTAGTAGTCTGTTCTTAGGCACTCGGGTTGTTTCCAGATTCTGGCTATTGTGAACAGTGTTGCAAAAAACATACAAGTGTAGATGTCATTTCTACTGTGCTTTTTTTGCATCCTGGGATATAGTCCAAGAAATAATATTGCTGGGTCATATGGAAGCTCAATTTCTAGTTTTTGGAGGAATGTCAATATTGTTTTTCCAAGAAGACTGGACCAGTCAGCATTCCCACCAACAATGAATGAGTTTCTTTCTCCCCACATCTGCACCAGCACTGGTTGTTCTTGTTCTTTTTGATGTGTGCCTGTTTTTGTGGTGTGCCGGTTTCATTGTTGTTTTGATTTGCCTCTCCCTGATGATTGGTGATGCAGAGCATTTTTTCCTGTGCCTTTTTTGCCATTTGTATTTTTTAGGAAGTTTTTGTTTATTTTTTCTCCCCATTTTTTGGTGGGGTTGGAGGGTTTTTATTGTAAAGTTCTACCAGTGTCTTATATATCCTGAATATTAAAGCCCCTATCTGATATATATTGGGTAAATAATTTTTTCCATTCCGTGGGTTCTCTCTGTAATTTGGTCACTGTTTATTTTGAGGTGCAGAAGCTTCTTCACTTAATGTAGTCATTTGTTTACATTTGTTTTCGCTTGCTTGGTGGTTCATCCTTGAAGATCCCTTGAGCTTCAATATCATGGAAGGTTCTGCCTACATTTTTCTCCATGTACCTTATGGATTAAGGTCTGATATTGAGGTCTTTAATCCATTTTGATCTGACTTTTGTGCTTGGTGTTAGACAGAGGTCTGAGTTTGGTTTTTTTTTTTTTTTTGCATGTAGCTGTCCAGTTTTCCCAGCACCACTTTTTGAAGAGGCTTTTCCTTGCTCCAATTCACATTTCTTGCTCCTTTATCAAAGATTAAGTGATCATAATTGAGATCATCATTGAGAATCAGTATCAGAATATTGAACTCTGCTCCATTGGTTCTGCGGGTCTGTTTCTATTCCAATACCATGATGTTTTAATTACTACTGCTTTGTAGTACAGTTTGAAGTTGGTGGAGGTGATGCCACTCAGGTCCCATTTAGTGGTACCTTGCTGCTCTCTCTGACTTGGTGAAAACTTCCTCTGCTGTGCATTTTGATTTCCTAACAGGGGCTTTAGTCCTGGTAAGTAATTTTGAAAGTTAACTGAGAGAGAGTGCGAGGAAAAGGTACTTGTCTTACATACAGCTGACCCTAGCTCAATCCCTGGCACTGCATATGGGCCCTTGAGCATGGTCAGGAGTGATCCCACGTCACAGAGTCAGGAGTAATCCCTGAGCACCACCAGATGTAGCCCCCGAACAAAACCAAAAAAGCTAACTGAAGATGTGGCTCAGTAGTAAGTCTCCTTCCTTGAAAGCTCTACAATTGGATTTCCCAGTCCCCTGTCACAGGGTGTACTCCTGACAGCCCTGCAAGAAAGAAATCTAGTACCCTAATAAAAATGTGTTCTGCAGATAACCACGAACAAAGAAATGAAAGGCTTAACTCAATATAATGTATCTTTAATAAAGGCAGAGAGATTTCTTTCTCTGAAGCATGTTCACATCTATGAGTTTATTCGCTGGTTAGTTTTAGTTCTGAACATTGTACTCCTGTTGGGGTGCAACCCAAATGCATGTGTGACAACATTGATTTTCCTTGGGGAGCTGGAGGAACAGAGATCTTTGGGATCTTTCAGACTTGTGTATTATTTATGTTTCTTCAAAAACATACCTGCTCTGGTCAATGGTTGGAAGCTTTCCACAAGAGTGTCTGGGGGTGAAAGTCAGTTAGGATAGAGAAGGGATAAGTATGACAATAGTAATTGAAATGATTATTTTGGACATGAACTGAGTGCTGAAAGTAGATAAAGGGATATACCTGATAACCTTTCAGTATCTGCACTGCAAACTATAAGGCCCAAAAGGAGAGGGGGAGAGGGAGACAGAGAGAAATAGAGAGAGAAAAAGAAAAAGTGCCTGTCATAGAGGCAGGTAGGATTGTGGGGAGGGAAACTGGAGTTATTGGTGATAGGAAATGTACACTGGTTAAGGGATGGATGTTAGAACATCGTATGACTGAAACCCAATCATGAACTTTGTAATTGTGTATCTCACTGTGATTTAATTTTTAAAATTAAAAAAAAAAACACTCTACCTGCTCTGCCTTTCAGGATGGATGATGGCCGGCTCTTAGACTACCTAATGAATCATGATGAGCTGATGGAGGAAAAGGTTGCTTTCTATATCCGAGACCTCATGGAAGCATTGCAGTACCTTCACAACTGCAGGGTTGCTCACCTGGACATAAAGGTGAGGAGGGAGAGCCTCCCTGGTTTGGGGAGATAGCTCACTTACCAAGCACATGCCTTGCATGTTTTAGGCCCTGAGTTGGATCCCAGTACCATAACCTGTCCACCCGGGCAGCACCACTACTGGTCCCCAGCAAATTATGGGCACTGCACATGTTTTGAAACTTCTGATCAGTTTGCATCAGGAATTTTCCCTACACAAGGGACTTCAAAGACTAGGCAAGGGCTAGGAGCACAAGCTTTGTTTGCAGGAGCCCCAGAGTCAGTCCCCAGCACAGCATAGTCCCCAGGAATATCACAACAGAAACATGCCAAGAACAGAGCTGGGAGGAGCCCCAGGCCTCCACCACAGCAACACGTGGTTCAGGACCCAAGCAAGGACTGGAGATACAGTACAGAGGGAAAGCACTTGCCTTGCATGTGGCCATATTGCCCGTGACCCTTATTGAATCCCCGATACCGCATATGGTCCCCTGAGTTCAGAACCAGAACTAAGTCCTGAGCACTGCTGGGTGTGCCCCATCCATAACCACCACCACCCCACACACACACATACTGAAAAAATTAAAAGACACAGGACTGTATGTAGGGTTGGAGATGTAGTACGGAAGGTCAGGCATTTGGCTGGCATGAGATGGCGACAGTAGGTAGAATCCTTGGCACAGCATATGGTCCCTGAGCACTGCTAAGGGTCACTCTTGTGCAGAGGGTCAGGAATAGTCCCTTAACGCTGCCAGTGTGCCCTCCTCCAATTTTTAGATACAAAAACAGGACCAGAGTTGGCAGGCTGACGAGGCGTGCTGACAGTTGGAGCCCAGGTCTGAACCCTTCTCTCCCCACCCACTCCCAACCTTGCTCTCCACAGCCGGAGAATCTGCTCATTGACCTCCGGATCCCGGTGCCACGGGTGAAGCTCATCGACTTGGAAGATGCAGTCCAGATCTCAGGTCACTTCCACATCCACCACCTGCTGGGGAACCCCGAGTTTGCCGCCCCCGAAGTGATCCAAGGCATCCCGGTCTCCCTGGGCACGGATATCTGGAGCATCGGCGTCCTGACATACGTCATGCTGAGCGGGGTCTCCCCATTCCTGGACGAGAGCAAAGAGGAGACGTGCCTCAACGTCTGCCGGGTGGACTTCAGCTTCCCCCACGAGTACTTCTGCGGCGTGAGCAACGCGGCCAGGGACTTCATCAACGTCATCCTGCAGGAAGACTTCCGCCGCCGGCCCACGGCCGCCACCTGCCTGCAGCATCCCTGGCTGCAGCCGCACAGCGGCAGCTACTCCAAGATCCCCCTGGACACCTCCCGCCTGGCCTGCTTCATCGAGCGCCGCCGGCACCAGAACGACGTGCGGCCTGTCCCCAACGTCAAGAGTTACATCGTCAACCGGGTGAGCCAGGCCACGTAGCCGCCCTCTGGCCGGGCGCTGCGACCAAGGCGGACTGCGTGGACGGGCATCCTCCTGCTCATCCCGTCACCCACGCAGCCCTCCGCGTTGAGGGGTGGACGTCTCACATCTCCCCGGTGGTTATTCAGGGTCTGGGCCACCGCGAGGTCACCTACGTCCGGGGCCTCTCTGAGGTCGCTTGGAAGACAGGTGGAGAAGGGCAGAGAGAGGGGCAAGTTCAACGGGACTCGGAGCTGTTGGGGGGTTTCGCTGCGCATCCCAGGAAAGGGAGGGACGGGCAGCACGCCCCAGCAGGGAGCGTAGGCGGCCTTGGGGGGGCCGGAGGAAAGCTCTGCGCAAGAGAAATGCCATGTGTCGCAGGGATTCTGGTTTAGATTACTTCGCTATAGTTTCTTAATAGCATATGGATTCACATACAGTAAATATATCCCCTTCGGGTTCCAGAGTTTTATAATATATATATAGATATAGATGTATGAAATCAATCGTGTGCTCCTGTTAAGACAGTCCTTTATTTCCCGAGGCATTGCATTGTTTTGACGAAGCACAATTAGAAGACAAGTTTTTTAGAGCATTTTATAAACCTTGTATAGAAATCTTTTACCAGAACCTGTGCATTAAGGGAAAGCAAGGATACCTTTTCCAATCCGTGAACAAGATTTTTCTCTCGGTCATGATATTTCACAGAGGTTCTGTAGATGAAATGTTACCCCCAATTCATTGGCAGCTCCAAGTACTTTGTAGCAGAAGCCTGCCAGGAATAAGTCTCCCCAAAAGTCAGAGCAATGGGGGCTATTTTTATGTCTACACTGTTGTGAAATATACAACAAAAATAAGTTTCCTACAAAGGGCAAATTGAAACCTTTCCCAGTGGTCCTTATGAACAGTGGAACCACACTTTCTGATTTCGTCTGCAGCTGTTAAATGCAGTTTTCAGAAAGTTGGCTTGCTTTATTTCTAACCCCTGATGGAAGCTAAGGGGTCATTACCAAAAGGAGGCAGCCATATATGCCTTTTAAAGGCTTGGTCCCAAGTCCTTTGTGAAGCCATGGAGTAAAATCTGATCCATCGCTCTAATGGAGCATTGAGTTTTAACTATTATCGCAATACACATCACCACTCAACTGCTGGTACTTCCCAGGACTGAAAGGACTAGTAGTACTTTGAGGCCAACACTGGTTTCTGGTGTATATTCTCCATACAAGATAATTATGAACTGCCCTTTTTTTCTGTTGTTGGAGGAAAAAAATTATATCTGGAAATTTCATGTTTGCTTTTCTCTTTTTTTTCAATTTTGAAGAAGAGTTTTTGTCTTTGTGTTTTTACATGACCCACGTTTTTTTCCCTAGAATATGTTTTGAAATTAGCATATGTCATTTAGAATGTGTCATTTAGAATATGTCATTCAAATGCTATTTTGAAAATAGAATTCAAGTGTTTGTCCAAACCACGTTCAATGGTGGTGCTTCTCTCCTATCATAAGGTTGAGATCGTTACATTTATGCAGCACGAATTCCAAGTAGAAGGCTAATGATGGATAAGTAGCACTGTAGGACTATCTAAATGAAAAAACAATGACGGAAACTAAACCTGAATTTTAACATATCAAACCACTAACTCCTGTAAAGAGAGAGTAGAATTAAAAATATTCCTCATTCTTTTTCATACCTCTTAAAGTCAGCCTCCTCATCCACCTTCCACTTCATCCCATCCAAGAGGATAGATGAATAAAGTAATAGAAAGTACAAGCAATAAGACTAGATAGCACTTCATGTTTTTAGGATGAACCAAATGCTTGGAAACTGACTCCAACTGTATTTGTTTCTGAGTTTTCCAGTAGCCCTGGGCATCTGAGGTGATCTTTCTCTGGTCTTTATTAAAATTTACCTGTATATACAAATGCCATAGGATATAATGTTTAACAGTTTGGAGACATATTTTTTTTATTGGACCACAGTGAAATAGTTACAAAGTTGTTCATGATTGGGTTTGGAAACATATTTTATAAAAACTCTTTTAGTAAGTGTGTCTTCATGATGATAGATCATAAAAGAAAGTATGGTCCCCAGGGCAGTGGTGGGAGAGACTGCAGGTCCTTAAAAGTCCCAGTATCCCTCTGCTTGGCTTGGCAAGTTCTGATCTGTTTACTATGGGTGACAAACAGAACACCCTCCAGAGTTCTTTTGAGATTCCCTGTATGCCACAGTTTCTGCTCGAGAGAGAGAGAGCTGAGGACTCGGCAAGGAGGGCACAGTGAAAAAATCTCTTACGGCAAATGCAACCCATGGATTAGAGCCAAAGCTTTTGCTGCTCAACTGAGATGGTCCCCAGGTGGAAGTTGCAGGAATGACTCTCCCCCAGGGTCCACAGCTGGGGAAGTGAAGAGACAGTCGAGTGGAGGACATCACAGTTATAACTCGTACAGTTTCATTAACTGGAGCCAAAGTACAATCATTAGAGTAGAATGAGTTTATAGAGGCCCCAAGAGAAAGGGGGTATATTTTATATAGTTTGATAATGGAGAAGTACTAATAGGGAGGCTCCTAGTCTGCAGAGCCCCTCATCCCTCCCAATAGGAATAAGACAGTAGTTCTGGCTCCAGAAGTCTCCGTAGCACATGGGACATAACCAGGAAGTCCAGAAGGAGGGGCTGGAGATGTCCTTAGATTTGCTCTGGGGGCCACTGCTATGAGAAATGAAGGATCAGTGACCACTTTCTTATAACTGTTTTGGCAGAAATATTTATTCCTTGGTCGTAGAGGTGACAAAGAACATAGTCTACTTCTATCAGAATTCTGATAGTTTTTGAAATCATAACTTAGCTAGGAATTAGTGAGTGAACTTCAAGCTGAAAGGTGAAGAATAAATGTTGGCTAAAGTCACAAGTGTCTTGCTTGTCTTATACTCATTACTTTGAGTTTTTTGGGAGGGTGCTGTCTTGATTTGTAAGAAAGACTGGAAAGATGAGGGACATGAAAAGTCTAATGGTTTATTGCATCTTTTATATTTGTTTAAAATTAAGTAGACTAATTTCCACTTACAGCCAGAGGTGGGAATGTTTTTCAGAAATTGTAATATTGGTAGCACCCTTTGGATCTCTGACACTCCTGAGGAGCTGATCAAGCAGAGGAAAGCTGGCTTCACCGCCTTGTGGTTTGCAGTCTTTATAAATAGTAGTGCCTTTCAGAGGGGAAGATAGGGAATAAAGAAGTTCATTGTACTTAGGTTTACTGATATTGCAGCATTTACCCCCTTTATTTTAAAATATCTTTTAAACATCCGAATATAGGGTGAGCCCATGAGGCTGAAATTCTTGTGTTTCAGCCTTGGCTATTCCTGCTTCCTTCTTTCTTACAAAAAAAAATCTGTTTTTTCCTGCTCCAAATGTCTCCATTGGTAAAATGGGAGTTGGGGGAAAGAGAGGACATTAATCTCATAGGAATTTAGTGACAATATCTAGAAAATCTTTGATTTTTTTAAGTGCTACACACTGCCAGTGCTAAAGATTTTATTGATGGTAACTTTGAACATTCCAAGTTTTTCAATACTTGTGACTTTTGATACCATTTGCAAACTCATGAGATTAAAATTCCATAAAAGTATCTAAATTGGGGGTACTCAGAGCTCTATGTCTAAATGTTATTTGGTCTTTGCCTGTAATTTTGATCATTTAAAAACTTGTCTACAGACAACGGTTAGGAGAGCTGATGGAATCTTATGTTAAAAAATCTGTTTTCTCCAGTATTCTTTTTTGGTGGCAGACACAAAAAGTAAAATGCCCCCAAGGGGCTGGAGGGATAGAACAGTAAGTAGGGTGCTTGTCTTGTACGCAGCAGACCTGGGTTCAACCCCTAGCGACTCCATACAGTCCCTGAACCCTCCAGCAGTGACTCCTGAGCACAGAGCCAGGGGTAAGCCCAGAACACGAGCTAGTGTGCGCCCTCCCCCCTTCACCCACCCTCCAAAGTAAAATGACATCTCCCTTCTCAAGCTTCATGCCCAGGCAACATTTACCAAAATGAACCCAAGCAGGCACTTTTCTCACTGGAAGGCAGTAATGGGAAGACAACATCTTCTGATAACACAAATTTTCAGAATCTCACAGGCATTTTTATAAGAGACCAATTGAATGTTTGGGTGGGAGTAGAAAGAATGGAAATGTTAGTTTGGGGAGGGGGCCTTCCCTGCATGATTTGTAGATGATGAGTCGGGAGTAGAGTGTTTGCTGAGTATCCGTTATTTAGTGCCTGTGAGCTCATTTTCATTTTTTGCTTACCTGTGTGGTAAAGTGCAGACATTTAGATTTGTGAGAACATATGGGAGCAACCATGCTGTAAGCTAAATGTGGTCACTAAAACCTCATCCCATGAATTTGATAGAGAAGGGAAGGTCTCCGTAGTTTGGCAAACATGCCAGCTCACCACATCCTGTTCAGCTTGGAGAAATGTGGAGTGTATCAATTCCTTTTTCCCCTGTGTGTCATATCTGTGGAGTCTGGGTTAGACGAACAGAGTAGGGGTGCTTTCAGGAAATTCATTCACAAAAAAACAGGTTTTTTTATTAACCATTTAAAGTCTAGAAATAGTTTTTAATCGAGTAATGAAGCTCACACAGACCCCAGCAAGAAAAGGGAAGCAACCAGGTTATTATTTATTTTATTGAAAGGAAGGCACGGCACTGTTTCATTCATTTTAGAGGGTTAAAAAGGGCTAAAAATATGTCCATAGCACTAGACATTTTTAATATAAAATATTATTCACGTGATAAATTTATACAGAAACAGTTGAATTCAGAAATATCATAGGCCATATTTTCTATGAAAAGCATGTTTCCTCATTTTTGGCATACAGGGAGAAGCAAGAGCAATTTCTCTAAGACAATGTTTCATCCTTAAGAGACATTTACAGGAAGCTGAAATTAATACTTGTAAGCTATTTCCCTCTCAGCTTGTTTGCTAGGAAATTTTAAAATGTAGTCGGATTTAGTTTTTATGCAGATGTTGAAGGCTCACATTGCTTCGTATAAGTTATTTTAGATGATGCAGATAGCTGAGAAAGGGACGGTGGTGTAATGAGTCCAGATACTCCCAGACTCCCGACTTCTGGGACTAAATTTAGGCAAGCTAATCTGTTAGGTCAGGAATAGCTAGTTTAACAGTTCCTCCCATGCCTAATTTCCATCATGAACCCACATCCTCGAATACTGGGGCTGTTGCCTTGATCTCAAAGCCTCTGATTATGAATTTGAAGTTAAACAGAACATACATCTTCTAACTTAAGCCATATCTATCATCTCTGTGTTTGGTTAGACCCTGGTGCTTTTCTGTTTCTGCCAAACTTTAGCCTACTCTATGGGGATGGTGAGTAAACACAGCATTTAGGAGACATGTTAAGACTGTGAAAGGAAAAAAAAAGAAAAGAAATATATTTACTCTTCAGAGTGAGATCCTAGTCAGAAAACATAGTGATCAAAGTGCAAACTGTTGGAAAATATCGATATATGTACATCTGTACATGTATATAGTGTATCATATGTATGTATATGTTCTTGCTCATATGCAGAAATCTATCCATTTGAAGACAGCCCAGGTGGGTCCATTATTTTACTGGATAACCAGTTAGGGCCATTCAAAACCATTAGGACTGACTTGTGGAGAACGAATCTACACATATGGGAACCAATCTGCTCTCTTTTGAAGTTCACAGAGACAAATGAGCAAAGCCTGAAATGGAATGGAACCATCATTCCAGTTATCATCTTTGCCTGGATTCATTAGTATCTCTATATCTGAATTAGTAATTGGTTTACAGACTGCACTAGCACCTGTTGATTTTGACTAACCCATTCTTCCTTCTCCCTAAGTCATTTTGAGAGTTTGGAGTGGGCTTCTCTGGCCATTCAGATCAAGGGCCTTATCCATAAGTGGACAGATTTCCCCATAGGGACCATTATACATATACATATAGTACATACTTCCATCAGGCTTGTAATAATTGATTTAAAATCACTCCACAGTATTGATAAATAGCTCTATATTTTCAAGGTGCAGAAGAATTCCACAGCCTTAATTATTTCAGTGTCTTGCTGGTCTGCCTTAAGTGTATCTTTTCGGGTTTTTTTGTTTTCTTATTTTTTTTAATTTTCTGCAGTTATTCATTTTGTATGCACATGTTGTTTTATAAAGGTAGCTTGTAAATATTTTATTTGTAAGTCAAAACCACTCATGTGTAATGTAAAGTGATGACCTACTGTCTTGTTATTACAGTAAATGTTGTAAGTTATGGATGAAACTTTGAAAATGTACATCTCACAAGTTATGCATTCCTATAAATATACTATATTAAAGATAGTGTTTCTGGTGTCTTTTTTCTAATTAAAACCTTGGTTCATTGAGTAATATTTCCTCTTCCTCCAAACACCTAAAAGTCTTTGATAAGGTTAAACTACCACAAATATTACAACACTTTTTTTTTTTTTGTCCAGAAAAAAAGTACAGATTTGTATGCTGGATCAATTTTAGAAAGAATGCAAATGTATAAAGAATGCGAATTTTACAAAGAATGCAATTTCTCCCCCTGAATCAATTTCTTGATGCCCAAAATGCTAACATTCAATGTTGTCAACTTCGTTCTGGTGTTTCATAAGGCAACTTGGGAGAAAACTAGTCCTTTAGACTGGATCCATAAGTTTATGCATTCTAGTGTGGCCTCTGGAAGTTTGGGTTGGCCTTTGCAGTCAGAATTAAGCTCTGAGAGTCTGTGTGCAGCAGGTGGGCAAAGCATACTGATTCCTAGCACACTGTCAACTATCTAAACTATAAGAGATTTTAGCATTTGGCTTAGCTTATTTTACCATTACTGGCTTCCATTCAAAGTTCAATGTAATGAGATTGTCAAAATTACAGTCTCTTCACACCAAGAGACCAGCATGATCTCTCTGTTCAACAAAAGCCATAAAGAATATAAAAATATTAGGTTGAAGAGATACTACAGTATGAGATGCTATCTCATTGTTGTTTTGATCTGCATCTCCCTGATGATGTGATGAAGAGCATTTTTTCATGTGCCTTTTGGCCATTCGGATTTCTTCTTTGAGAAAGTTTCTGTTCATCTCATCACCCCATTTTCTTATGGGATTGGATGTTTTCTTCCTGCAGAGTTCAACCAGTGCATTGTATATCCTTGATATTATCTCCTTATCAGAAAGGTACTGGGTGAATATCCTTTCCCACATCACAGAGACTGGCACACATCCAAAAGCAACCAGTGGTGGCTGGATGTTGGGAGAAGGGGACTCTCCTTCACTGCTGGTGGGGATGCTGACTGGCTCAGCCTTTTTGGAAACAATATGGACATTTCTCAAAAAACTAGACGTTGAGCCTCATTTGACCCAGCAATACCACTTCTGGAACTATATCCTGAAGATGCAAAAAAATACAGTAGAAATGACATCGGCACTTATATGTTTATTGCAGCACTATTTACAATAGCCAGAATCTGGGGGAAAAAAATAAATCCCGAGTGCCCGAGAACAGATGACAGGTTACGAGAATAGATGACTGGTTAAAGAGACTTTGGTACATCCACACAATGGAATACTACGCAGCTTTTAGAAAAGATGAAATCATGAAATTTGCATATACTTGTATCAGAATGGAGAGTATCATGCTAAGTGAAATGAGAGGGACATAGAATGACTGCACTCATTTGCGGAATATAAAGTAACAGAATGGGAGACTAACAGCCATGGATAATAGAGATAAGGGCCAGAAGCTCCACGGCTTAGAAGCCGGCCTCACGTAGTGGAGGAAAAGGCAGCTCAGATAGATAAGGGACCACCAAGTGACTGATGCTTAAAGGGCCTGCTCGGGATGGGAGATGTGTGCTAGAAGCAGAGGAGAGACCAAACATGATGGCCGCTTACTAGCTATATTGCAAACCATAACACCCAAAAGGAGAGCAACAGTAAAAGGGAACATGCCTACCACAGAGGGGGTGGTGGGAGGGATACTGGGAACACTGGTGGTGGACAATGGGCACGCGACCGTTGTATGACTGAACCGTAATCACTAAAGTTTGTAAGTCTGTAACTGTACCTCACAGTGATTCAGGAGCAAAAGCACAGCGGTAGGGCGGTTGCCTTGCAAGTAGCCAACATGGCCGACCCAAGTTCAATTCCTCCGCCTGGCTCGGAGAGCCTGGCAAGCTACCAAGAGTATCTCGCCTGCACAGCAAAGCTTGGCAAGCTCCCCGAGATGTGTTCGATATGCCAAACACAGTAACAAGTGTCACAATGGAGACGTTAATGGGCCCGCTTGAGCAAATTGATGAACAACGGGAGGACAAGGATATAGATGAGATAGCATAGGGTTTAAGCAGCTTGCCTTGCATGCAGCGGATCCATGCCCGCCCCTGGGCACTGCATCAGCACCCATCAGTCCCAATCTGCAAGTAGCCCCTGGGCACCAAAGAGTAGGCCCCATCAGTTCCAATCTGCAAGTAGCCCCTGGGCACCAAAGGGTAGCCCCCCCGCAACTGCAATAAATGAGAAACTGTGGTGAAGCGCAACCAGGATTTCTCCAGCGTTCAGGTTCCCTTTCCTCGAAAGCGTGTAAATGCCGCCTTTCGCCCCCTCCCCCGCCGCCGGCCGCAGCGCAGTGTCCTCCCCGACCGCGCGCCCGCGCCGCAGGGCTGCCGGGTCAAAGCCCCAGGCGGGGGCCTGCACGTGGGACGCCGAGGGCCGCCGCTAGCCCAGGGGCGGGAGCGGTGTCGGCCGCCGGGACGCCAGGCGCGGCGGCGGGGGCGGGGCCGGGGCGAGCACGCGGGGCCTCGGAGGCCGAACCCGAGCACGGCGGGCGTCGCGGAACAGCCCCGGGCCGCCCCGGCTCCCGGCTCTGGAGCCAGCGCGCGCCGAGCGCCCCGCGCGACGGCGAGGCGGCCGGAAGGGGCGGGGACCAGCGACGTCACGGGGCGCCGAGGGCGGGGTTCCCAGCCGCGTCGGCGGGACCCTGCGGGCGGAAGGGGCGGGGCTCCGTGACGTCACGGGCGCGCCGGGCGCCGAGACCGCGCGAGAGCGACGCGGCCGCCTCGGCGGGACCCGCGACCGGAAGGGGCGGGGCCCGTGACGTCACGGGCGCGCCGGGCGCGGGCGCCACGCGGGGAGGTGAGCGCGCGGGCAGCGCCATGGCGGCCGTGGGCGCGGCGCTCGACGCGCTGGTGACGGACCTGTACGACGTGCAGGCCTTCAAGTTCGGGAGCTTCGTGCTGAAGAGCGGGCTGACGTCTCCGGTCTACATAGACCTGCGCGGAATCGTGTCTCGACCGCGTCTTCTGAGCCAGGTGCCGGCCGGTGGGGGCGGCGGGACGGGCTCGGGGGTGACGGCGGGCGCGGGGACGGGCGCCGGGGAGGGGCGCGCCGGGCGCTAAGTCCAGCCACGTCGTGCCCTCTAGAAGCCGTGGGGCGGATTCAGTCCCGGGACACGCATTGTTAGGGCACGACTGCGGATCTCGACCGCGAGCCAGGACCACGCGGGAATGCAGTTAGCAAGCGGGCAGTTTATTGAGCTGGCCAGCCAGGGCCAAGCCATCAGGCAAGACCCCAACTTCTCAAAGGGGACCGTATGTGGGCCTTCACTGGCCGTCGCAGCAAAGCCCGCACGTTTCATGGCCAATAGATTTGTATCAACATGCACTTTCTTAACCAATCCACCTAAAAGTACCTCCCTCCTTAGCCTGTAGATTCAAAGATCAGCATTTGTGTACATGGGCGCTGTGGCTAGTGGGCATCTGGTAACCCGGACTTCTGGTTATCTTCTTCGCTCCCTTTGAACAAAGCTCGTAGCTCCTGCGTTCCGGTGGAGTCGGATAAGGGAAAAGTTCCTAACGGAGGTAACAGATCAGATGGTTTCCGAATTTACATCCCAGCAAGGAAGAGCTTCACAGCTAAGGCTCTACTAGGGAGGGCCAGGAAAGGGAGAGTTACTAATTAGCAGGGTTTAGCTCTGGAATTTTTCTCAGGGTCCCTAGGGACCTTACAACGTGGGCCTGAAAGGAGAAGGCAGGCGCGGGTGGGATTTTAAGCCGTTGCTGAAATACTGATTGGAGAGAGCTGTTGCTGGCAACGGGGAAGATTTAAATAACCTCATTGGCGGTATTGCATTTTTAAAAATCCGGTTGCTTTCTGTCCAGCAACCGAAAAGTCCCTCCCCCCCCCCCCCCCCATCTACTAAGTGGAAGGTTTCGTAGCCAGAAAGAGGGTTCTCAAGACTGGGGCTTAGCCACACTGCAGACTGTCTCACTGGCGATCAATTATGCGGACAGTGCAGAAGAATTGAAACCGCAGTTAGGCCTGGTAGTAACCTTGGTGATCCTTAGCACAGGTGTCTTCATTTTTGGGCTCTTAGCAAGTTTGTTTGGGGGCCTCCCGAGCAGTGCTCAGTGTGCCATTCCTGAGCTCTCAGCCCTCCAGCCTAGCTCTGCCACCCACTGCTCCTCTGACCTGGCCTGCTGGGGGCCTCCAGAACCACCGCCTTTTCAGGGCTACTTTCAGCAGTTCTAGGGTGGGTGGGGCGTGCAGTGCTGGGTGCGAGCAGGTCCTTGAGCATGTCAGGCATGTGCCCTGGAGCAGCGCTCTCTCCCATCCCAGAGAGATACCATCTTAACGAACGGTTTGAAGTTCTGGTTAATGTGTTTGTTGTCAGTGTGATATTGTGATTTATAAGAATGGCCTTTAGGGGAAGGGTGAGTGGTGATTGATGGCCTCCAGGGAAATCAATTTACATATTATAGGTTGTGACCCTCCCTGGCTTCCTTGGAGGGGAAAGAGAACTTAGAGTGAGTTCACTTGCCAATGACCAGTGAGGTGATTGGTCTTGTTTAGCTGATGAATTCTCGATTATAGCCCTAAAGGAAAGGCTTCAGTGCTTCCAGGTGAGTGGGGAGATTTGGGGGAAATAGCGTTTAATTTATTATAAAGGGTTTATCAGCCTTTTTAATGGATAAGCACCAGCACCGAAGAGTAGTGGTTTCCAGCCCTTTACCCTGCAGGTGCTGGACCACTGATCGAGTTCCAGCAAAGTAATTAAATCTGAAGAGGATATTCTGGAAACCTCTGTTTTCTACTTTTTAGTTTGGGGACCATGCCTGGCCACAGGCATGGTCTGTGTTGAGGATCATACTGGGGGTGCTGGTGATTGAACTAGGACGAGCTGTGTGCAAAGCAAGCACCTGACCCACTGCATTCCATCCGTCTCTAGCACCAAACCTTTGATTTAATCTGGCCTTGTGGGGGTGGGGCGGAGGGGGCTCCAGCCCCTTAATAGTATATGTTGAATTCTCTTGCTGGTGTCAGAATTGCCTGCTGCCGTGGGCAGGCCCCCCTGTTCACTACACTGCAGTTGAAGGGTATACCCATAGAGTCAAATTAGTTTTTCAAGCATTGGTATGTTGCCTTAAAATTCTGTGGAGACAGTGGGGGAAAGGCAAGTTCAAAGTTATTTTTTCCGATTTTCGTAGTCTGCACGGAGGGATCACTCTGGTGGGGCCATCCAGTGTGAGACAAATGCTTTGCTTGCTGTACTATTTGTCTGACTCCCGTTCTTGTGTTTTTATATTGATTGTGAGATTTATAATTGATCCTATAAATCAACTATAGGATTTGTAATTGGAAAAAATGTATTTATACAGGGTTACTGCGGTTTAATGTTATATTACATGATTTTACGCCCATTTAAAAATGTTCATTTCTTGCAGGTGGCACAGATTTTATTCCAAACTGCCCAGAATGCAGGGATCAATTTTGACACTGTGTGCGGAGTACCTTATACAGCTTTACCTCTGGCTACAGTCATTTGTTCAACCAACCAAATTCCAATGCTTATTAGAAGAAAAGAAACAAAGGATTATGGTAAAGTTGAAGTAATAAAAGAATTAGTTGGTCTATAGATTTTGATATAGATTAGTTGGTCTATAGAAAAATTCTAATTTTTCCTTGTTGGCACTAATATTTTACCTTGAGTATTCTTCAAACATCCTTTAAATTATGCCCTGTAGAACTTGCTAAATCACTTTAAATCCTCACTTCTTAAGCTGTGGGCCTCACATGAGGTTGCATCACTTAATGTGGGGGTTCTGAAAGATTTAGTTGATGGGTATTGTATGAGTTCACTGATTATACTGGGTTATTCTTTGTTTCATAAGTTTCCTTGACTTCAGTGATCTTGATAAATAATCACTAGGTTTGACATTTTGATTATAAACACATTAATACAATTTACACTGCAAAATAATTTTCCAGTGTTACTATAAATACTGGTGCCTGTTCGAGGCAATTGACAAACAACAGGACGATTGTGATTGTGACTAAATACTGTGTGTGTCATATGGAACATAGATATACTATACAATATGGTCATCAGGGCACATTGATGAGTCATTCAAAACAAAGTAGCTCCAAATTAGGTAATCAGAACTTAAAATTTAGGATAGCTACCTCTATCAGTACAAAACAGCTTTACACTACAGGATGTATCTTGAATAGACGGAAATAAATACCTGATTTTGAATAAAATCCAATACAATATATTCTTTTGCAGGTACTAAGCGTCTTGTAGAAGGGGCTATAAATCCAGGAGAAACCTGCTTGGTCATTGAAGATGTTGTTACCAGTGGATCTAGTGTTTTGGAAACTGTTGAGGTGCTTCAGAAGGAAGGCTTAAAGGTGACTGATGCTATCGTGCTCCTGGACAGGGAGCAAGGAGGCAAGGACAAGTTGGAGGCGCAGGGTATCCATCTCCACTCAGTGTGTACATTGTCCAAAATGCTGGAGATTCTTGAGCAACAGAAAAAAATTGATACTGACATGGTTGAGAGAGTGAAGAGATTTATTCAGGAGAATGTTTTTGTGGCAGCTGATCGTAATGGTTTGCTCCCTTCGATAAAGAAAGCCCCCAAAGAACTCAGCTTTGGAGCACGTGCAGAGCTGCCCAGCATCCATCCAATGGCGTCCAAGCTGCTCAGAATTATGCAGAAGAAGGAGACCAATCTGTGCCTGTCTGCTGATATCTCAGAGTCCAGGGAGCTGTTGCATCTAGCACATGCTCTGGGGCCCAGCATCTGCATGCTCAAGACTCACGCCGATATTTTGAATGATTTCACTCTAGATACGATGAAGGAGTTAACAACTCTGGCACAGCGCCATGAATTTTTAATATTTGAAGACCGAAAATTTGCAGATATAGGAAACACAGTAAAAAAGCAGTATGAAGGTAAGTATTTAGGAATCTGCGTGAAGTGGAAATCCAGCTGAAGGGAAAACAAGAAATCTGTTGCCTCACATCAGCTGAACATGAGTGTGCTGTAGATACAGTTGGATCCTGAGCTGAAGTGATGTCTTTGGACTTGGCTTTCTCTTCATATCAACTCTGCTTTTCCTTCTCTTGATTTCTTAGGTATGCACCCTTCATGGTATCCAAACCAATTGCTCATGCCTGGGTACCAATCCCCGGCTACCTTTATTAGTTAACCATCCTTAGTGGGATAAAGTTATTAACTTGACCTTCTTGAAAAAAATTGGGAGTAGAAGGAGTGTGTTACCAAAAGACAAATGTTTCTAGGGCCAGAATAAAAGTAGAATTGGTAGGGCACTTGCCTTGCACACAGCTGATGGGGTTTGATCCCTGACATTTCATATGGTCCCCTGAGCCTGCCAGTACTGATTCCTGAATACGCATGGGGCTGGGAGTAACCCTGAGCACTGCCCCTGTGTCCCAAATGCCCTTTCCACCACGCCCCCTCAAAAAAAGAAAACACATGTCTCTGGGCAGACACAATGGCAGTTGTTGGCCCTAGCAAATTCAGCAGATTCTAGTTTCTTTGACGAACGAAAAATACAGGTGAAGGAAGCAATAAAAAGCATACGGAAAAAGAATGTATTATCTTTTGATGAGTGAGGACTCAGGATGTAAGTCTACCCTTTGGTTTTTTGTTTTTGGTCCACACCTGTTAGTGCCCAGGGCTTACTCCTGGTGGGTGCAGGGGATGCAGGGGACCATATGGGGTGCTGGGGATTGAACCTGGGTTGATTGCGGTCACGGAAAGCACCCTACCTGCTGTACTATCGTTCAGGCGCAGTCTTCTCTGTCCTATCCATATTTCTCATAAACCTAAAGATTTATTCACTTAGTCTTCTGGGCCTTTTATTGTGTTTTTAAGCTTATCCTGGATCTCTTGAACTAACTTAATTTTCCCTTAATATAATGCATTAAGGTATTTCTTCAGGTTGTTGCTGTTAGTATTGCAGGGTGAGAGAATACCCAAGAAGCCTTGGCTTGTTAGCCAAACGGAAGAGGCTTTATAAGAGAGCAAGGATCTCAATTCAGCTAACAATCCTAAGCCTACTTTTTGTGTATATGGGCAAAATTTTTATACTTAAAATTTTATGCATAAAATCCTGCTTGGTAGCATTAATCAGCTTTCTTCTAGCTAAACAAGCAAGCATAATTTTAGTAGATAAGCCAGATGGTTGCTGTTAGCCTTGAATGGTTAAAACATTTCTACTTGGCAGCCCAAAAGAGCAATGTGCGGTAGCTACTTTGTCTAAAAGTTTATTCCCCAGGCATCCTCCCCCCCGAGTTCTTTGAGTGTCTCATTCTGCTTCTCAGTTATCAGCAACCTCTTGGCTTTTCTGCTAATTTTGGGCCATATAATCACATTAGCTTTTAAAATGACATTTGCTCTTGAAGCTCATGTTCTGCCTTGAACATGTACTTCGTCTTTTTCTCCCCTCAGGAAAATAAGTTTCAATAAGAACTATCTTGCTTCACCAGTAAAATAAAATGAATACAGTTGTAGGTTAGAAATGGAATAGCTAGAGAAAACTAGGGAATGAGTAGATCTGATAGTAAAGTACTGAGATCCTTAGAGAGTGAAAATTTGTCATCTCAAGAATTTATGAAATTAAGATCACACATTGCTTCTGGGAAAGTGGGCATCAATTATATCTTTGTGTTCTGCTTTTTACAATTTTATTTGGTTTTAAGGAAAAAAAGTCAAAGTTTATTAATAGTGTGGGTTCCTTCTGTATATATGGAAGAGGCCCAGCTAAGCTGAGTAACTCTCCAGTATGGCTCCAGGAACCTTAAGTAATTTTTGCTAAATCAGAGAGGATTTGGAGAGAAGAAAGGAATCAAGGAAAAGTAAATAAACAAAGTTCAGATTTAAGTTCAGATTAAGTTCTGCTTTTGGCATTAAAAGGTAAGGTTAGGTTTTATAGGGAGAAATTTATTTATTTATATATATATATTTTGCAAAGGCCTTTTCACCTAGTCGTAATAGCTTTTTCTATATTGCCAAGTACTTGTTTTGGGGTGAATGATAGTTACTCCGTTAAACTTAGGTACATTATTTCTTTGATGTATTTGTGTTATTTCTCTGTTGGCCAGTTAGGTTTTTTTGTGTTATTTCTCTGTTGGCCAGTTAGGTTTTTTTTTTTTACTGAATCACCATGAGATACAGGTACAAAGCTTTCATGTATCAGTTTTAGTCATATAATGATTGAACACCTATTCCTCCACCAGTGCACAATTTCTACCACCAATGTCCCCGGTCCCCCACCCCCTTACTCAAGCCCACCCCTCTCCTTGCCTCTGTGGCAGTTCTGTTCCCTTTTGACTGACATTTAGACCTCAAGTCCATCTCTGATTGCATGAATTTTATTGCTTTGACCTGCAAAACCAGCCATGATGGTGTGGTCTGAGTGATAGAGAACTTGTAAGAATATTTTTATATTTTGAATGTTCAACTACTAGGTGAACAAATTTTTCAGGTGGGACCAAATAGGCCAGCTAACAATATTTTTCAGATGGAGCCAAGCAAGTCAATTGATAACTGGAAATTTGGAAAGTATTTTACTAGTGCATGAATATGTTAGAGTAGCACTGTAGCACTGTCCTCCCATTGTTCATCGATTTGCTCTAGTGGCACCAGTAATGTCTCAGTGTGAGACTTGTTACTGTTTCTGGCATATCGAATTTGCCACTTTGGAGCTTGCCAAGCTCTGAAGTGCAGGCAGGTTACTCGGTAGCCCCGGCAAGCTACAGAGAGTGATGGAGGAATTAAACCCGGGATGGCTGAGTGCAAGCCCTACCAGCTGTGCTATTGCTCCAGCCCATGTTAGAGTATTTGTATGAAATACTTGGTTGACTAGCCAGAAATGTCAACGGGATTTGTTTGGAAATCAATAGATATCTTCCTTCCCCCCCCCCCCCCCCCCCTTTCTTAGGTGGTGTCTTTAAAATAGCTTCCTGGGCAGATCTCGTAAATGCTCATGTGGTCCCAGGCTCAGGAGTTGTGAAAGGTCTGGAAGAAGTAGGCCTGCCCTTGCACCGGGGGTGTCTGCTCATCGCAGAAATGAGCTCCAAAGGCTCCTTGGCCACAGGGGACTACACAAAAGCGGCGGTAAGTGACAGAAACCCACATGCTACACGTTACAGGGAAAGGGACATCTTAAATTCAGGAATCTGGAACTGCTGCTCCTCTCCCAACCGCTATTGTTAGTGTGACTCTAAGGTAATACTAGTTGACTAGTGTTCCTTGATCATAGTATTTTGTATAGCTGTTGGTGGGCATGTAAGGGTTTGATGTATACCCTAGAGAGGACATCATCGTTGTCTGCAGTCAGTCATTTCCTGTGGTTCTCTTCTTGTTCACTGTCACTGTCCTCCCGTTGTTCATCGATGTGCTCGAGTGGGCCCAGTAACGTCTCCATTTTGAGACTTGTTACTGTGTTTGGCATATCAGATACGTCACGGGTAGCTTGCCAAGCTTTGCTGTGCAGGCGAGATACTCTAGGTAGCTTGCCGGCTCTCCGAGAGGGGCAGAGGAATCAAACTCGGGTCGGCCATGTTGGCCGCTTATAAGGCAAATGCCCAACCCGCTGTGCTATCGCTCCAGCCCATGCTTGTTCACGTGGTTGTCTTTTTCAGCACATCTGAGTTGAAGTGCTCTCGCCCTTTCTTGTGCCCTTTTAAGGCTGATGCAGTGCTTTAAGAGGCTAACACAGAAGGGTAAAGTGAATCTCCATTAAACCCAGGGAGGAGATTATAAAACTCTTCTCTGGATCCTGTCTGGAGCCACATCTACTTCCCAAAAGGGAAAAAGCATTAAAGAGTTCCTTGCTGTATTGAAGATAGTTTCTCCTAGTCCCACCAAAATATGCTCTCAAAGCAGTCACTCGCATGAAGCAGCTTTATCTTCGTCTTAGGACTGTTGCTTGGTACTGCATATGGAAGTAGTAACTGGAGTTCAGATACTTGGTTTCTCCTGTATGTCTCGCGTTACTTAAAAGTGTTTGTAATATCATACTTGTTAATACTCACTCTACCCTTAAGTTCCAGAATAAAAGGATCCAGTTTTTAACAAATAATAAAACCCTCTTTCCATGGGTCAGAGATAGTACAAAGGTTAAGGCACTTTCCTTATCCTTGGCATTGACAGTGGTTCGAATCCAGGCACAGTATAAATGTCTACCAGCCAGCTGTGGCTCCTGAGCACTACCAAGTGTGCCCCTTCCCCCCAAAAGAAGGTCTCTTGCCTCTGAGTTTTCTAATTGTAGTCTTAAAGATCTTTTGTTTGTTTTAATATGAAACTAATGTTTGCATATTGTGAAGGCCCCATGGAATTTGAAGTGCACATAGTTCCAACACCAGCTTTTTTTTTTTTTGGTTTTTGGGTCACACCTGGCGATGCACAGGGGTTACTCCTGGCTCTGCATTCAGGAGTTACTTCTGACGGTGCTCAGGGGACCATATGGGATGCTGGGAATCGAACCCGGGTCGGCTTCGTGCAAGGCAAACTCCCTACCTGCTGTGCTATCTCTCCAGCCCCCCAACACCAGCTTTTAACCCATCCTGACAATAGATACTTGTGATTTTCTACTCTCAGAAGCAGCAAGTCCATGAGTCAGTGTTAGTATTTGACATTTTAGGAATCTAGGTCTAGCTGGACAGAGACCACTTGTTTATAGGTGCTCATGTTTTATATGGCACAAATAGAGTATGCCAACCCTTGGGGAATACCAAATTCTAAAATCATAAAGCTTCTCAGGGAGAAGCTTGTATGAATGTGAGGTGATATGTCACAGTTGTGGGGGTCAGTTAATGCCAGATGTAAAGAAGGAAGAGTAGTGGAGTTGAGATTTGATTGGCCCTGCCAGCATGACTATTTTTGATGATGCCTCTCCTGTCATTTAATACCCTGTGTGGAGAGGCAGAAAGTCTTGAATGTGGTTTCATATTCAATTAAATTTCAATTAAAATAAAGGATTTGAGGAGAGTAATATACTGAAATTGGAGTACTCTCCTCAAATCTTCTTTTATTTTAATTTTTTTTTCTGGGATACAATATTCCAATAACCAACCCCACCTGCAGTGTCAACTTCCACCTTCAGATCCTTTTTATAAGTAGGTAGATATTACAGTTCATTGCCTGCATGGAAAATGCCTTACCCACTGGATTATCTCTGGCTCCTATGTTCAGCATTTTGATTTTAGATGCACAAAGTATAGAATTTATTGTTTCTTGGGATGTGGATAATAAAGGCATTATCTTCGGTCTTAATGGAACAAGTCGAGATTCTTAAGAGTTCTTGTTTTAGATGAATACACAGTACTTATATGAAGAAAAAGCGGGGGGCATTTGTAGAATAGCAATTTTCGAAATTAATAGTTGACTTTTCCATTTTTGAAGAACTACCATTCTGTGTGATTCTTATAATCTAGGTCAGTATGGCTGAGGATCACCCTGAATTTGTGATTGGTTTCATTTCTGGCTCCCGAGTAAGCATGAAACCCGAATTTCTTCACTTGACTCCAGGAGTTCAGCTAGATGCAGGAGGTAAGTCGCTACAATTACTGTAGTCTTGCCAAAATGTATCTGTATATCTGGGTCAGGAGAGAAAATAAAATGTTGTGTATTTGAGTTTAGGATAATTCCTAGATAAGTGCTTACCCTCTATAGAGGTTCTGAATGGATCCTGCTTTTCCTCAGCTACCATGGATGTGGGGACTTGTATTCCTACCCTTCCTCATAAATAAGATATATTTCTGCCTAAAGAGTCTTAACAAAAAGTTATGTGAATGGGTAGGGCCTTGCAGTGGTGGTCAGCTTGGTTTCCATTCCCAGCATCCTTTATGGTCCCCTAAGCACCACCAAGTGTGACCCAAAAACCAGAGGGGGAAAATTTTTTTGAGAGTGTAAGCTGTTCAGGGGCCAAGGATTGGAGCATGTGTAGGGCCCCTGAGTTCATTCCCAGCACCACATCTTCCCTGCATACACACACCCCCTGCCTCCAGCACCTCAGCACCACCCAGAGAGTGTGACTCTGGGCACTGGGGGGAACACCCTCCATAAATACATTCTGTATTTACTGTTGCTTAAGACAATGGTGGTTGGAGGGATCGCTCTGGATGGGAGATGTGTGCTGACAGTGGGTAAAGGACCAGATGTGATGGGCTGTCAGTATCTGTATTGCAAATCATAATGCTAAGAAGCAGAAAGAAAATAAGAAGAAAGGTGCCTGCCATAGAGACAGACAGGGATGTGGGGGTAGCAGGAGGGATACTGGGGACATTAGCAGTGGGAAATGCACACTGGTGGCAGGATGGGTGATGTAATGTATGACTGAAACCTGATCATGAAAGCTTTGTAACTGTAATGGTGATTGAATTAAATATTTTTAAAAAAACACTGAAACAACAAAAATAGTTCTACAGTAAGGCATGAGCCCTTTGACCTGGTGATACTGACTAAACATGCAAACTAACTTGCAATCTATTTTAGGATATTAATTGAGAAAGTGGGCTATAAAGATGGTACCAATACCCGAGGTAAGGCGTTTGCCTTGCATGACCCCATTTCGGATCCCACAGTATGGCATATAATCCCTGGTATACCACCAGGCGTGATCTCTGAGTATGGACAAGTATAGCTCATAGTACCCCCAAAATTAAAAATCTTATCACTTGGTCTCCATCCATTATGCCAAACCCCAAACCACCCATCTGTTCTGTTTCAGATTTAATTTAGTAACACAAATGCCTAATTAGCTTTCCACTGATGAAGCGTAGACTTTAAAGTAGGATGGGTGTCCATTGCCTGTCGGACTTGGTCATCCAACTACAGCCAACTTCTCTTGATGTCTTTCCCCAGCAAACTGAAAGCTTCCTTCAGGAATGAGACTGAAGTATTTGTGTTTGTATGTGGTACCAGATTTACTTTGTCTTTCTATACTGTTTATAGGTAGTGTTCTCACATTAGACTCTGACAAGAGGGGGTTAGCATATACTTCTTCCTGGTAGCAGTCTCTGATGTCTTTCTCCCGCTTCTTCTCAACTTGCTATGTAAAAGCAAGGATATGTACTTCTTCAGAAAAATCATGAGACAGAGTTTGATGTTTGCATTCTAACTTCTTTTCTCTTTACTTTTTCTTTTCTTCTCATTTTGTTTTTGGACCACACCCGGCAGTGCTCAGGGCTTATTCCCAGCTCTGCACGCACTCAGGAATCACTCCGGATGGTGCTCAGGGGACCATATGGGATGCCAGGGATCACACCCAGATCCACTGTGTGCAGGGTGAGTGCCTTAGCCCTGCACTATCCCTCCAACTACTGTGCAGTTAAGTTCTTTTTTCTTTTTTTGCAGGAGATAATCTTGGCCAACAGTACAATAGCCCACAAGAAGTTATTGGCAAACGGGGTTCTGATATCATCATTGTTGGCCGAGGCATAACAACAGCTGCTAACCGTCTGGAAGCAGCAGAGATGTACAGGAAAGCTGGTTGGAATGCGTATCTCAGCAGACTTGGTGAATGAGTGTCTCAGATATTTTCCTGAAGGCTTGAAGATACTTGTGCTCATGCAATGCACTGGTTTGAAATAACGCAGACTTCACAATGCTTGGATTCTTCCTCTGGTCTTGTCTTAGAAGATATCTGAAGTTACTGTTATCTTTAGGAAATGATGGACAAACGTATAAATCGCTGCCTTGTTACTTATTCCAAGCATTTATTTCATTCAGGCTGGTGTTGGTTATCCAGTCAAGGCCTGTCTGCATTAGGGCCTTCCACAGAGAGGCTCTCTCAGCTCCGGCTTCTAATTACCCTGAGCCAGATCTTAAAGCATCAGGAGAGTAAAAACATTTGTGTGTCCTTTACTCTGTATTTGATAAGCCCAAATGACATTTTATAGCTGTCCCTCTCTCTTTTGAGACTTAAATGTGAAAAGCGAATGGTATGACTCAACTTCCTACAGAAGAATTTCCAGTAACATGATTCTCCTTAATAACTGCCAGGAAAGGCCCCTCAGCTGATTATTACAAGAAGATCCAACACTTCGGTGTTTCATTTGAAGATTGTCGGCCAATCCAGAATTTTAAGCACATTAAACACATACCCTAAACTTGATTAGATCCACCCCTGCATAATCCCAAATCTCACGTGTGCTCTGACCCTGATAGTACACATCTTGGGACCACCTTAGTTGAAAGCTCACTCGTGATTCCTACTTGCAAATAAAAGCTGAATTACACCTGGAACTTGAGCTTGTGTTGATGACTTCTCAGCAGCTGCGCAGAAGAGCAGCCTATGAAGTTGAATTTTAATGTGAACTCAGTCCCCAATGCTGCATTGTCAGCAGTGTTTCTTTTGAGCCCCTTAAGAGGGATGCAAGGCAGGAATCTTGATAGGACATGTAGGAATGTCTGGTGGCCTTAGTTTCGTCTTGGGTGTTGCAAAATCTTAGAGTGGTTGCTGGGTCACAGTTGCCCATGCTGGGTGTCTGTACATCCTGTACATCTCTGCTGCTTCCAGACGGTTAGACGGTTAGATTAGCTCACACACTACCCAGGAGTGTTAGTTGCATATGCCATCTGCCTGGACATCCTACACCCCAGCATTTCTCACTGGACAGGCTAGGATTGGCTTGGGACTTGGATTTCCAATATCCCGGTCAGTGCTGGTGAAGGCCCACGCAGCCTCTGCCCTGGTTTTTTTCTTATGGAATGAGGTAGTCTTGGAGTCTTTCTGAATCAGCTGCTGCTGCCCATCAGATGTGTGAACTGCTGCGCTCAACTTGAGACCGCGTGTAGTTTTGCTGTTTCTGGCGAATGTGGTGGTGGTTTTGCCTCTCATGTAGACTTCTAAAGTGAAATCCTGCCAGTCTGGAGTTTGAACACATTTAAACAAAGTTGTCTTTAATGCTTTTTGGGCTGGAGCATTTGTCTTGCATGAGGCGCACTCAGACTCAATCACTGGCACTACATACAGTTCCCCACAGCCCATTGGAGTGATCCCAGAGTGGAAAGCCAGAAAGCCCTGGTGGGTGTGGCCTCCAAACACGAAAGTAGTACACTGTGGATATATATTGAAGTTTAGACTGACCTTTCTCCAAGGGATTCTTGTAGCCCTCAGCGTTGTAAAACCAGGTGCTAGTGAGGAAGATGATGGCCAGAAAATCTCTCAGACTGAGGGAGCAAAGAACTGACCCCAAAAAGCAGACATTAATAGAGCACACCAATTCTCTGTGCTGGCGGCCTTGAGAGGCCTGTCCTGCTCTTACACCAGCTAGGTCTGGAGTCCTAAGAGCCTCCCAGCGCCCTGTAGCAGCTGAGAGCTGTGTTCTCAGTCCCACTCATAGGGAGGAGGCTTGATGCAAGTCCTGAGTCTGCCAGAGTGAAGGCTAGTCTCTCAACTCCCACTTACCTCCTGAACAGGGCAGTGTGGTGCTGTGAGCGTATCTCTGAGCTGCTGCTTTGGGAGGAGCCCTGGTCTCTTACAGCTGCAAAGACTGGAGAGTACCCAGATGTGCCATGTGTGCCCCTGTGACATAACAAACTGGACATACTCTGCGGTCTGTCCAGCCTACAAGGTAAACAGGCGAGGGTGGGTAAAAGCACTAGGGGACTCCGGCAACCAGAAAAGAAAACCATCTGTCCCTGGCAGGGACCCAAGACAGGGTTTCTCTGCACAGCTGCACTTCAGGTGAGATATGTCCAGGGAGACTTCTGGGCAGTGAGCTCTGCCCTCCATGGACACACCACAATTCTGCTACAATGAGCAAGTAAAAGGCAAGAAGACACGAGGGCCTTCAGAAGTGTTTAGATTTTACAACGGTTAAGGTACTTGGCCTCGTATGCAGCCAGCCTGAGTTCGATTCCCAGCACCACACATCATCTCCCAAGCACCGTCAGGCACCTGAGTGCAGAGCTGGGAGCACTGCTGGGTGTGGCCCACAAAAAACCAACTGCTTGCCCTTTTAGATATGATCAAGTGTGAAATCCACTTGAGCCTGCAAAATGAGGTCCACCCCCACCTCCCCCAGTTCTAGGCAAGAGTTCCACACAGATGCACTGAATTCTTGGATGAAAAACCATTTGCATCTAGAGAAAGCTTGCAAGGCAGAAGGAATTCAACTAGCAGACTCACTTAAGGCTTGCAAAGTGAAAGCTTGGATCAGGAAGTGATGTGCACAGGCCCTGAGGAAGAACCAGCTGACCTATGACACACCAGCGCTGCACCTTAGCCTCACCTGTGACAGACCCTGGGCCCGTGCTGGCTTATCAGGTTAAAGCTTTGGCTACAGAGGCTGCTAGAAGTAGGATCCAGCAGTAATCAATCTGGTTTTAGAAGACTCTAGTTCTCAACCACTAGGAAACCAAAACTGGAAGCTCCCTTAGAAATCTAATCCTATTACACCTTTCACAGATGAGGTAATGGAGGCTCAGGGAGAAATTTTACAAAGGTTGCAGAAAAGTTAATAGAATTCCTCCCTCTTCATTGTTACTTGGGTTTTTGTTGCATATTTTTATCATATGTATCATAAAGGTAAATCACTATATAGGCCTATATGTAGCTATATACACACATCTATACTAATTAAGAATAGATCTGGAGGGACTGAAGTGACAGAATGCAGTAAGACACTTGATTTGTGTGCAGTCGACCACAGTTCAACCCCCAGCACCACCAGAGATGACTCGCGCACAAAGTCAGGAGTAGCCTCTGAGCACCCGACCCCCGAGCAAAAATAAAGCTGAGCTTAGCTGTGGAGTGGATACTTCGTTTCTGCGAAGCAGATCTGGTAGCCACCATGGAAACGCTGATGGGTCAGCCTAGGGATGCAGGTGGCTTTCTCTCCACTGGGCAGTTAAGTTTTCATATCATCAGCATATGTGACAGGGTGAGCACATGATTGAACAACAGGTGGACCACAGAAGCGTAAGTTTTGTAAAGAATCGGGCTTTTTTGGTGGGGCTGCGGAGAGGGAAAAAGTGCTGCCAAATGATTCCCGAGAGATCTAGCGCCACTTCTGGTAACGTTCTGCTAACTGGGTCAGATGGTGCTGACCTGAGGTGCTGGGATCACATCATTCTTCTAAGGGTTGACATGTAAAATATATAAATAACACAAGTTCACAATATGAAAGGCAAGCAACCCAATTTAAAAAAATGAACCAAAACAACTTAAACCTTTCCAAAGATATACAAATGACTCATAGATACATGGGGGAAAATACCTCAGTGTCACTTATTTTTAAAGGAAATGAAAATCTAATTCAAAATCTCACGCCAGCAAGAATATTAAAGTATTGGAAATAAGTATTGGCAAGGATGTGGAAAAAAAGGAACTCTGATACACTATTGGTAGGAACATAAATTGGTAGTCTGGAAAATGTATGGAAATTATTTTAAAAATTCGGGCTAGAGGCTGAAGCAATAGTACAATGAGGAGGGCACTTACCATGCATGTGACCAGCTCGGGTTCAATCACTGGCTTCCCATATGGTCCCCCAAACCCACAAGGAGTGATTCCTAAGCACTGCTGAGTGTGCCACCCACAAATAAAGAGGGATTAGGCAAGCGGGGAGTGGGGATAAATGGGGACACTGGTGATAGGATTTGTATTGGTATATCATAGTAATAGGGACAAAGGGGAAACAGGAAGGCTGAGATTCAGAATATGGCCCTAAAGGAATTATCTGTGCATAATATAACGGGTCGTCTAGGTGGTGCCTGATGGACCCTGCTGAAGATGACCTTCTCAGTATCCTCCCCTATTTTAGTGGCTCACACCCCCTTGAAACATAAAGAAATGCTCACCCACCCACCTTTGTTAAAAAGGTATAAAAGGGAGAAGGCTTCTGCCTCTCTCTGGAATCCTGTAGGAAACCCTCCCGTCATCTAGGGGCTTCCCTGCATTCCCTCCCTTCCTTCGTCTTTTCTGAATTCAGCCACTCTATCTGCAGCCACTTACTTTCAATCTTGACTGAGAACAAGAACCTGAGCACCTTCACCGAATACTATAGTTGGTGAGCCAGACAGGAGTTTGCCACCGTTGTTGTCATCTACCAAGGCAAATTGGCCGAATTTAGGTGTTTTTTTTTTCCCCCTCCTTTCTCCTGGTCTTTCGATGCATATTGCAGTAAGCAGCAACTCATAGGTAGGAGTGCATCTGTGCAAACTGGCTATCTGTTCTTTCCTGCTGACCAACTTGTCTGACAGCAGTATTTGTCAAGGAACAGAGGGAGAACTCATGATCTTGTCAGAGGCTACTCTTTGTTTTTTTGCCTTTTTCGTTTTTTTTGGCTACACCCAGGGGTAAGCCCTGAGCACCCAGCAGTGCTCCGGGTGCTGTGTGCTCAGGGCTTACCCTTGGCCCTGCACTTAGGGATTATTCCTGGTGGTCCCAGGGTACAATATAGGGTTCCAATAATTGAACCCTGGTCATCTGCTTGCAAGGGATCGGCAAATGCTCTTCAAGCTGTACTATCTCCAAAGACTTTAGGAGACCCGAAACTCCCTTTCTCTTTAAGTCTGTCTGGGGTGCTTGGTTGCTGGCAAAAAGGTCCTTTTACTCTTATTCTGAAAATGTTTTCTCTGCATGTTCCTTACAGAGTCTTCAGGAGCAATACGCAAATTCCCAGTAGGACAACTTACAAGTTCTCAGGGCCATTCCCTCAAGAATTTCCGAAGGTGAAGATACCCTAGGTGCCTCATGAGAAACCTTGGTGGAGAGTCTCCTTGGTCTCCCTTTCTCTTTTCGCAGCCTGGCCACCCAGGGCCTGCTTGGGGTTCTGTCCCTCACAGACTCTTTTTTTCTCTTTTGTGCTAGGCTGCTTTTCTGGCTTCGCTTACAGTAGGAACCCTTTGTGCCATAATTCCCATAGAATACTGGGCATTTTTCAGTAAGGTAAGAACCATAAGGGTGGCTGCTAGTCTCAAACAAATGGCAATTTCTGCGAAGCCGACTCTTAGAGAACCTTTTCTGGTGTTAGAGGAACATTGTCTAAGAGAGACTTTGTTTTCCTCCTAATACCTTGTTCTCTCCCCTCTGAAGTCAGGCATGTCCCAGCCAATGGCACTCAGATCTCTCCTTGCACACATTAGTGTCAGGAATGGGATTCCCTGACAGTGTCAGGAGAGGTGGGTGTGGAGTGGGACTGGAAAGTGGGGGAAGCTGCCAGAAAGACAAATAACAGTTCCAGAGAGGACGTGAGCCCTAGCAGAATGCTAAGGCTTGGCCCAAACATA